ATTAAAGAACATTAAAAAACACGTGGCAATGTTTGTCTTTTTAACTCCTGAGTTACTATGGGCCTGATCTGGTCTCCCTAAAGTTCCCCTTATTTCAATCAGTGAAGGGGGGCAGCTGGGGCAGAATGGCTGCTCTGCGTCACCCTGGTGGGGGCTGTACTTCAGAAGTGGATGAAGTGGGTCCCCTCACATGTACTGTTTATGAAACCTTTAGGGTAGAAGAAACTCTATACAAATGCAATTATTATTATCTCAAAGTTTTATAATAAGAAGAAGAGTAAATGAATTTACCTCCATTAGTGGTTTTAGGAATAAATTAATAATTCATACACTATTCATAACTCAAATAATGAAAACCTGTCCTCAGTATTTTCAACAAAAAAGAGGATATTTTGAACTACTCTAGTTTTAATCTGACTGTATTTGTAAGTGTTATGACATGAAGACTGCTTTATTCTTTACATGAAACAGCACTAATCTCTCCCTTCAGAGATTCAGAAGATGCATCATAAATAGCCGTAACAACCTGCTTAACACTATGAACCAGGAGAAAATTCTGGAGCCTCTGATGATAGATGGCTCAGTCCTGTCTCTCAACTAATTGCAGACTAAGTAGAATGAGCAGATGTTCCATTAGTTAATTAATAACAATGTCTTAAAGAAAGGTCACTGGTTGGTAGAGAGACAACAATGAAAATTAAGTTCTTACCCCCTGGATTTGTAACTAGGAACCTTCACTCACCTCAGCTATGATCCTGGATGGAAAACCTGTGGTTTGAATGCCATAATGTATCTGTTTTTCTGATCACCTCATGCTGCAAAGAATACTTGGTGTCAGTTTGAGCTGCATTAGAATGATATGGTAGTTAGCCTCACTAGTTTTGGGTTTTGGGTTTTTCTACAGTACTTGACTAACCTCAATACTCATCTTTTTAAAAAGAAGTGCTTAATGCAATTTGGTTTTGTGGAGGAGCCAGAGGCTATCCTGGCAAGCAATGGGCACAAACAAGGGCACACCCTGGACGGAACACCAGTCCATCGCAGGGCACAGACAGACACAGACAGACACAGACATGCACACACTCACACCACGGCCAGCTTACCCACAAGCCAGTTAACCCACTAGTAGGCCTTTGAAATCTGAGAGGAAACCAGAGCACCCTGTGGATGTGAGGAAGTCATTTGTAAGAAAATGTTTGCAATCTTTAAACATTTGACACAAGATTCAGAAAACAGACATGGATACAAACATTAAACACTAAACACTTGTCATAAATTCTTGAATGAAAATAATTTGCATTATTTCTTCCAACATGGCATAGACAAGAAACGTTATGGGTAGATAAGGTAAAACAAACCATCCCGCCACCAAGAGCTGTGTGAAGCTGAAACAGCCCAGCTAAACCTGTCGGACTGCAATAAAAAGACTTTCCAGTATCAACACAAAAGAACCCGAGTCACCATCTCTGGATATATGGTGCATCTGTTGGTGACCTACTGTACAGCATAGATTCGTGATAAGGAGTTTCATCCATTTGAAACCATAACACAAGGCAGTTTCAGACAGCACTCCCACCAATGCTTAAAATAGAGCTGCTCTTTTCAAAAGACTCAACTCACAAGAGATGAGAATCTGTAAAGAAGATCGCGTGGCAATGCTGTTATCAGTGGTCTTGCAGTGAACTGCTGACCTGAGGAAGGGCCAAGCAGATGGTGGTGCGTCTGAATAAAGTGGGTCTGCATTAGTTATAACAGGGGAATCCTGGTACAGCACTGAAGAAATCCAATTTTATGAAAATCAGAAAGCAGAGCTTAGTAAAACTCCTCAACTATTATGTGCATTAAGTGTGGTTGGTACAGGATGAATTCAGGTTTTTAAATCTCTGTTCCTAGCTTAAAAACAAAATCAGAAGTTAACTGTTCCTCCCCCCCATAACAACCTTTATACTACATCTTTAATTGGCTTAGGACACATTCAGAAAGAGTTCAACAAAGTGCAAAAAAGTTTGTGTTAAAAAGAAAACTGGAGAGAGAAACAAGAATTTAGAAGAAATTTTAAATAATCACTGAGACATCTTTGTGATCAACTCATTTTTCTTTGTCGTTTGGAAAAAAAGTCTGCTTCAACTCCATAGCAGAAATGCTAAATACTACTGTTTTAATTACATTTACAAATCGAACAGGATGAAGATCTTTCATTTTCTACACATCTGTTGTTTCAAAAAGTCCATGTTATTGCCTGAACCCACAGATTAACAAGGGACTCTAAAGACGAAAAACACAACAAAGACAGCCCTTTGCGAAATCAGTAAGGGCCTGTAGACTGGCTTGAGAAATTTGTCCTGGAGAAAGTCAATTGTTGACAGCTCCTGGTGTTTCCAAGCACTGCCATGTAAGATCTTTGAAAGGCAAATTCCATTATTAAATATTGCACAACCTCCCATCCCTCCAAAACACCCTGAATTGCTACAGTTGATCAAGGGCAGATCACCTTCCCCTTTCATCACCTTCATATGCCAAACCTAATTCTCAGGTGGTTTTCAAATAACAGTCTCACTTCCTTCCAGGCTCTATTCTTTCCCTGGCTCAAGCTCTGCTAAATCTCGAGCTGGTAGAGGTCAATGGTCATTGGATGCCACTCCTCTTCTGTGTTTTTAAACAGAACCTGACCAATTGTCATCCTTCAAATAGTCAGCTGACTGAGGATGGCAAGTTACCCCTACTGCCTTCTGGGGAATGTAGTTCAGGCAAGAATCTCCCTCTCAAAATGTGTAGTCAGGAATAGACTGACTGTCTCTCCAAGGGCGGACAGTTCTAGTAGTCCTGAATCTTAATCATGTAGGGATGGATAGGTTAGCTCTGATAAAATCCCTGTACATAACAACTCCTTTGCTTTTCTAGGAAAGAAGCTGAGTATCATGAATCCCAGTAGATAACATCTTTATTATGTATGCTTGCCTTTTTGTAACAAGGTTATATCTAAAAGTGCAGAAGCTTGGATGGTTTTTTCGGTAAAATGCCCTGATGAGGACTTTTGTAATCCTTTTTATTAGATGAAATACAATGCACTTTCAGTGTGACTAAAAATAGCCAGACTTGAGATAGATGCTGTATGCTGTATTGCATTCCCATTTAAGGGTAGATGCGTGGAAAATAATTAATTCTAGTTGTGGCTGACCTTACTATTACGAGATATGGTATCATTACTGCAAATTAGAAAGGAATCCCCATGATACCGCAGAAGAGAGGGCTGGTGAGTTCATCCAGTTTGCATCACTTCTTCACCTTTCCATTATGGGTCCATCCAGTATTTAATGTTAAAGACTGTTAATGACTGTTAAAAGCTCTGTATGGTGCATTAGTCCATGATCAGGCATGTTATGAAGCTGAGAAAAATAGTCTATAATGAGTGAAAAATTGATTTAACAACACACAAGTGAAACGCTATTACACATGTACTGTGCATATTTGAAACACAGGAAGATGATTACCATATTAATATGTTTACAATATCCTGTAGGTTAAATGATATACTTTATACATGGTACATTCATTCATTTGTACTTTACACTAATAAAGATACTGTGACATTGCCTTCATGATATGTATTAAAAAAACAGGCATAGGAAAAACATTAAAATGTATAGTAGTAATGCTTAAGGAAATCAAACCTGAATTGTTTTATTCCAATATAAAATGGGGAAAATAACTAAAATGGTATTTTCTGAGGAAAATAAAACTTTTTTATTACTATTATCATGATTTGTTTTGTGTTTGTAACTACAGCGACCAGTACGATGGTCATACGGCTGAAGCTCCCCTGTGTACAGTGACCAGTTTGCATTGCTCAATCCACAGCTGGGCATGTGAGGAGAGTGGGAGCTGAATACAAGAATAGAGATCTCTGTGCTCCCTGATCAATGACTTTGACAGCTGGCCTGATTCCAATTTCAATCCATAATTCTTCCTCGCAGGGAAATTAATGAAGCCAAGGGCTGATTAGGTCTGAATCACTCCTCCATGACTAATTCAGGGTTATTTATCAGCGCTCTGTGGGCCAGGACACTGCACTACTCACACAGAGTTGTAGGCACAAATGATGTTCTCTCTAAAACCTGGGCGACTGGCACAGCCACACTCATACCGAGAATGTAATATAAAACAATGTAAGAGCTTAATCTGAGACTCACATCAGCTCTTGATAAACTGCGATGAACAGTGTTATTGTCACCTTGCTGTTACCTTTGAAATTGATTTTGTAGGACATTTTGGGCGGCAGACCTGAAAGTACTATGGAAAGCAATTTAAGAATCTTATGAATCTTAATGCCAACATCCAAATGTTTACAAGAAAGTAATGCCTTTTCTCTTCATAGGTTTGTTTAATTTAATAGCAGTGTGAGATATACCATCCTCATCAGACCATAAGTTATAATGGAGGAACATCATTACTGTGTCAGTCATCATTTCTAAGAGTATAGGGATGAACTGTTCTAAATTTAATCACTTCAATTCATTATTTTAATAAAAAAAACAAATCAAGACCATTTGTATTCTAGTGCATCCACTGTATTTTTATAATGTTTGTTCCCAAAGCTCAGAATTTATTAAACACCCTTTCAAACTTGATGAATGAAGATGGCCATGTTTAGGAACATCTAGGTTCATAGTTTGAGTTCACATCCAAATACCCTGCCAACAGTCCTCAGTGAGTCATTCTTTGTGGCGCAGAGTGCCGCCTTCTGATTTTCTAAACAATTCTAGCAATTATTATTATTATTATTAATTAATTATTAATTATAAATAATAATAACACTTTTTCACTTTTCACTCCATGGGATGGCAGGAAAAAAGCTGATTAATGTTTAATGGTGTCTCTAATGTTTAATACATGAAAAACTACATCTTACGTGGTCACTGAGGTTGACTCAATACTTTTGTCTAAATCGTATATATCGCTACGCTGGTTTGACTCTTGTGGGCTTCCGTATAAGGTATTAGTCACGTGTGTAACAGTCAGCTGACTGCTGCCCATAGTGAGGAAAACGTCTCTGTGCTGTATTTTCCACAATTTACATTGTTTTATTTTTGTAATTTATGTTACTGTGAGCCTTTAAAGAATGGAGTCAACACTAGAACAGCATCTAGATGATACGTGAGTTTTTTTTTTAATATAATCCGCTTTTTAAGTGTTTTACTTTGGGGAAAAAACAAACGCGATCTGGAATAATTAATTATCTAAAATATTTGACCTTTTTAAATATAAATTATACATAGACAGCGATTTTAATATATAATCGTTCTAAACATAATTGGCTAATTCCAAAAACGGTACTAAAGTAGTTCCTTTTTACATTTTCATACCCTAGTATTGAAAGAAAAAAAAATAGATACCCACGGATTCACTAACAAGTTATCTGAGTTAAAATAATGTATTTGTTTACTTTCAATATGGCTTTATTTAAATATTTGTTTTTATAGTATTTCTATTTTTCGTTGACCCAAAAGTTGATCGCCTGCCTTTACCACTAATGTCGCCAGAGAAAGACTTCAAACGTTTTACTTTCTGAGCGATATCAGGGTACATACGCGCTCTTTAAATGAAACAAATCTGTCTTCTGCCTGTCAGAATGAAGAACCCTGCCATCGTGGGGATCCTCTGCACTGACCAGCAGGGCCACAACCTGGGCTGTGAGTACACACACCTGTCCCACGGGCTGTGCTGCTTTGTTGAAAACATCGCTTTGCCACTACCTGTTGTTTCAGAGTCCTGGAGAGCCGCAGTGCTTCTTAATTTACTTAATCTGTTTACAGTTTACCACCTTTTTCAAGAGTTCAGTTGCATAGAGTTTTCTGTAATGCCTGCAGAATGAAAAATATAGTAAAGAGAAGTGGTCCTTCCTTCGTGTTCTGGAAGGCTTCCTGTGATTCTGGTTTTCATTCCATTTGAGCTCTTACTTGCGAAATTAAATCAATCATTTATTGAAGAGTGAAGGAGTATGGATTGGGTTCCCTTTAAAAAGGGAGCTCTCTAGGACCAGGAGAGAGGGTCGCAGCTACGGGCAGTCCTGAATTTCAGAACGGTACATTAGTCCAATGAGAAGCTTCAACACAGAGATCAGATGGCCTTGCTGCTGTTCACGCACTAATGGGGCTGCCACAAGCACGGCAGTGCCTTCACAACTGTGACTTTGAGTGTTGGCGAAAAGGGGGGCGCAGTCGTTTCAATACACAGGGTTCAGGTATCTGTGTGCCGGCTCTGACCTGCCCTCTCCTGCTGCTCCTGTCTTGCCATTAGGCCGCGGCACGCTGTCTGATGAGCACGGCGGAGTGGTGTCAGTGCTGGCCAAGCAGGCGGCCCAGCTGACAGCGGACCACACTGACTGCCCCACGGTGTGCCTGGAGTCGGATGCTGGGTAAGAGGGGGCAGGAGGCTCTGACTCTGCCTCGCTGAACAATTGGGCTTGTTAAGTGCACGGCTTTTACTATTTCATTAAGTTAAACCCAGTTCTTTAAAAACGCCTCGTTTCTCATTGGTACGGTTCAACTACATTGCCTAATTTATGCAGAGTTGTCTTACTTAATGTTCTATATGATTGCAAAACGTTTCTTATACCTTTCTACATGTTGTCACATTTTCTTTCCATTTCTCTCTAGGCATGCTACTGTAGGTACAAAATGCTTGTGTTCAGTGTCTGTTAGAAGGGATTTTTTCTGTATTTGCTTCTTTGCTTATACTGCCACCCTGTGGATTTGAACTAAGAAACTGGGGTGTTAGTTGTCTCTGAGTTTTACAAAGCGCCCTGAAAACTCTGCAGTGGGGATGAGAACTTCAGTCCTTAAGGGCTATACCGTTCAACAACGGAAGACCAAAACAATAGGATTTTTTTTTTGGCTAAAATATTTCATTTGTTTAAATGAATAAATGTCAGAGGCGAATGAAAACTGCAGGAGCTGCCTGTCTCAGATCTACAAAGTTTTTCTTTTTCCAAAGCTCTGAGGAACTGGGCATTAAACAGGTCTTATGACACCATGGCACTGGTTGTAAAAGAGGATGTTTAAACCTCTCTCATCTCATGCTTGGGGTCATTTATTCCTGGAACTAAAGTCCTTGTTTATTTATTCTTGAATTATGAAAGACACTTTCTCTTCTCTCTGTAGGAACATCTTAATAAGGACACATGGCACCATTACAGTAGCTGTGCACAAGATGGCATCCTGATTTTTCAAGCAACAAGAAAACACTTTACTTGTTTCCCCACCCCCTTTTCTTTGTTTTTTTTATGAAGCGCATAACAAACTCCAAATGGTCATCTTCCAATAAAGATAAAAAACAACTGAATAAGCATTTGAATGTTGAGACCATTGGAATACAATTTCTTGTGTTAACAGTTTAGTAACATATTGCTTTGTTTTCATAGAAGGATGGCGTCAGTCATTCAGACACAAAGTTAGACATTGCATTTCTCAGTCATTTGTGCTCAGCTCCTCCATTTTAATGAGCAACTAGTTACAAATAGTTTGGGGATTGTTGGAATGCTTGTGTATATAAACGAGCTTTTCAAGGTGAATGTCTGCTGGCTGCCTCCCTGATAGGTACAGTACAATGTTTCATAAGTTCAACTGATCTGAACTTTGCCCAAGGTCGCCAAAAGGTGCATAGCATGAGGTCATGCTACTGAAAACCGAAGCAAATGACAGCTATGTCATAGTCTGGCCAGCACTGGGCTGGGAAAACAATTTGCTAGTTTCAGTCTTAATAAACAAGTTCTAGGTTACCCTTAAATGTGTTTTTGTCCACCACACCATTGGTGGAGATTCAGTGGCAGAAAATGGAACTTTCAAATGGACAGGTAGCAAAGTCTCATACATCATAGAAATGAAGGGCATATTTTTATGATTTGTTGGTTTGAATCATGACTTTTATGAAAGAAACACTGGGCACTTAGCAGAGGATTTGAACTATTTTTGTCATTAAGCATGTTTTCTGCTGTGCTTTGCTATCTGCGAGTTCTGTGTCGTTCATGTCTATGTTGAGACAGTCAATAGAGGGAGTGTGTGGTGGATTTCCTGCATTTAATACCTAAGTTGTAAATGTTTAACTCTAACTCATTTCCCAGTGAAAACAAGAAAATGAATTGGACACAATTTCAGAGGTAATGTTAAAGCATGAAATATCTGAAGAATAAAATTCTGTTGAAATCTGTAACCCGATACTGTTTGGCTTGTTTAATTTTTACATCTCTTACCGTATCCCGTTTTCATTTTTATTTATAGTATTTTGCTCTGAAGAATCAACAGACTGAAGTTACCATTGCTTGGAAATCTCTTTTCGTGAAAGTGTTTAAGGATAATTCCCCATCTCTCTGTAGATCTCAACTGGATTTTTAACTTAAGGGGTTTCTTTTTGTCATTTCTAATATAACTGTTATTTTGCAATAATTTGTGAGTATCATTTAGTGTTTGTCTTCAGCCTTATATTTAGCCCTAAAATGTTCCTATTCATATAATTGATCTGTAAATTGTGACCTTGCTGATCTCCTTATAGGTGGCATCCCAGCATGTGCCAACTGTAGTAATAGGGTTCGGCCAGGAGAGGGCAGACCAGTCCTGCACAGCTGGGCTACAGCAGCGCATTCTCATTGAAATGCCATAGAGGTCGAGTCCTCTGAGGACCTTCCTTCATGGCTGGATAAAATTAATTCCCTTCATATTCATGTATATTTAGACTTTTAATTTATTACTGAAATATTGGTGGCCAAGACCAAAAGAACATCATAAAAAAGTTAAAAAAAGAGACATGAATCACCAGAAGCGAATTTGAAAAAAAAACTGCAGTCAAGAGCACGTACTCTGAGACTGTGGAGGAATGGGCTCTTGAGACTGGAAGGAGTCCTGAGATTTGGGTAAGGTCTTAAGCAAGGGTGTGAAGTTATTGGAAGGTGAGTGTGAAAACCTGATAGCGCTAAAGGAAGCTGCGTCTGAGCAGCAGCACGGGTTTGTGGTCAGGCCTCCGGACAGGAGGTCCGTACATTGAGATCCATGTGGCAATGCTGTTACTGGTGCTTTGCCCGCATTGCTCCAAAAAAGGCCCTTTAGAAACGAGTCTCCGGTTGTCATCATAAATAAGAATTTGATTCCAATCAACTCGTCTGGTATGTCGACCTGGAAACCGCCTTGGAAATACTCCAGGAATAGGGAATGAAGGAATGTAATGTATGACTCCTAATTAGAAGCTTGACTTTGTGGATGGGGGCAGTCACTTTGCTTTAACCATGGTTTCTACAAGGCTTCACTGTGTTTTACTATAGGTGATTATGGAAAGAAAATCTAATAACCAGGTTACAAACTGGCTGTACAAGGATGCATCTGCCTACCTTTACTATGGATAAGTCAGCAAGTAGACACTTGTATAACTCAATCATGTCATTTTTGGTTGAAACAGCAATTATTTTCCACGCGTACCATTCTGTATTCTGTAACTACCCTTACTTCTTCAACACCTCCTGCAGTGTCAAGATGTGCTGTGGATCCTTATCTTCTGAGCTCAGAAAAGGTAAAAGATCTCTTGGAAAAACCAGGTTGCTGTTGGCTGAGGTTCTTGCAGACCAGTAGGTGGCACTCTTCCCTGTGGGCCAGATGTGCCAAACCGATGCCCCAGTGGGGTGGCCAGGGACATTATGGCATCCATCACATGAGATATTACACTGACATCTCGACTACCTGGTCATTAAAGATCTCATGAAGCTCCACGTATGAGGAATCGTGTTGGGCTCAGTGCCTGGTTACATTCCACACTGGACTTGTCCGAAGATCCCCTTTAATAGAGCTGGTGAAGCAGTTTCTCATGTCTCGACTTGCTGGGTGCTGTACAGTATATATGCAGAACACCTGATACTTTGGGGGGGATGCTACATAAACACATGGAACGGTGATTACAATTAACTAATTAAATTATCCAAAACACTGACAGAGAATAAAATGTGTAGTACTCATTGGTTATCATTTTTTAAAGTGTTACTCGTTAAAATTAAAATAACCTGAATTCTTGAACTGGTAGTAATGTGAATAAAATATGACGTATTTATAATTGATTCAGAAAAAAAATATAATAAACTGACGTATTACTTATGACGTGTTTTACCTGCAATCCAACTTTTTTTAAATAATTCACGAATTTTGTTTAATGAATTGAGATTAACACACCAAGCCTCACTCCTCGAATGCACTCTTAATGTATTTCATAATCATACAGAATTCTTTTGGATTTTTAAATTCTACATACATTTGGAACGCATCCTCTTTCGTTCTCGGTCCATTTAAAAAGGACACCGTGTCGTGGGGGCAGTTTGGGGGACTCGTCGCAATTGGTCATTCTTGGGAGGTTTGCGCCTTAATTCGCCCCTTTCTGCTTCAGTCAAGAGAGAACTCAATTGACCCTAGTCAAAAGGCGAGAAAAACTCGCCAGCTCCCTTTTCTGCAAACTTTATCGCAAAGCAAACAGAGTAGGGTAATTCATTGGGGACACAGAAATATCGCCTGATTTCTGGAATGGAACAACAGGGGGTCGGGATCGGTGATATGTGACAAAATGATCAAAGTACTTTAGAAATGTCTTGCACGTGGAGCACTAAAGCTCCACTGGCTTTTCAACTTTCAGATGATTGAAACCCGATTTTCAGAGTTTAAAAATCACCCTTAATTTCTATAGAAGCACTTCATTGATAAATCAGAACACGTTTTCTGTTTATCTGCTGTAGAAAGGTAGCAGAGCAGGACTTTTCCGTACACTGTGCAGAATAGGACCCCTGCAAGCAATTGCTAAGGATGTTGACCACACATTTAATTTTTTTTTTTAGTTTAAAACACATTTTTGTGTTCTAAAAGCATATTTCTTTTAAGTTCCGCAAGTTCTCTTTTGGGTTAAATCAATCGCTATACAATATGTCGTTAACCAAAAACGCGAACAAACTGTACAGCAATCCAGATGGAACGAGTCTTTTTTAATTAATGATTATTTACTGAGGCGACTGGACAACCGAACTTCACTTGGTTAAGAGCGGCTCTCGAAAATAAAGGGAACGATAAAAGGGGGAAAGAAATATTTCCTTTTCAGAGCTTCACAAGGTTTCCCATGGCAACTTATTCGTTTCTAATTGCACTTTCTTTCTGGTCGTCCTTTTCACCAAACCTCTTAACGTCCCTCCAGTCGCTGAAACGCGTCGTTTTCGGGAGTCAGGTGGCGCGCGCGCTCCGGGCAGGTTTTCTGCGGGTCGGAGCGAGTAACATTCCTCGGTCACATGGTCGCGAGACCGCAGGCTTCCTTGGTGGCCGCCGCTATTTTTTTTCCCGCAAGGTTACTTGCAAAAGTAACTGAACGGGCAGCTCTACTAACTTCTCAGACGGCGGCGACCTTTCTGCGTCTCCGCCGCTTTTGTTTTTCCTAAAAAAAAAAAGGTAAAGCGATATTATTGTCAAATAATTTGGCACTTGCTTTACTCTTCTGCGGAGCTGGGAGAGGCGAGAGGGGAGAGATCCAATTAATTACAATATAGAAGACGGGACGCGCTCATGATATATATGAATTCGCCTGTATCAATGACAAAGATTTAATTCTCTGTTGAAAAGAATTTTACGCAAAGATGGTAAGTCCCTTTGAATGCTGTTCAGTACGTTTATTGATAACAGAAAAAGTTTCAGTCTTATGAATGTCTTTTTTAATCATGTCAGGGGGTGACGGATTCTTTTTTAACACGCTATACTCCAAGAGGAGTCAGTTATGGTAGATTTGTGGCTGGGATACCCGCATGCGGCGGGAGCCTGTTCTAACACTGTCCACGGGTTGATACAATTCCAAGCAATTGTAGGCTGTCCAGTTGCGCGAAATCCAGAATTAGGTCAAGGCAGGCCGACAAGTGCTCGCATAATGCTGACCTGACCTATTTTTTCCACCCTGAATTCTGTCTCCTTAAGAAAGGAAAGGAGAAACTTTAAATAAATATGTTGAAAGCGAGTAATTATAATTGTATTCCTGGTAGCCTTCGCAGTTTCCCCCTGGTGCCTATAAATTATTATCATCCACTTGTTTTGGTATGCAGGGGTCTGTTACATTCCTTGTCGCTGGGGAAGGCAACTCCCGTCCTGCAGAACGATATCCGTTCCGGATTTTCATTCCGTCTCAACCCTTAATGGACTAATTAAGTGACTATAACGTCAAAAGAGCTGTTCTGCAGGTCTGTCTTACTCGAGTGCTAATTAAAGGGTATCTGAAACGCTTGGAGGCCGTCGTTGAAAAACTGGGTTGTCTGCACCTGGTTTATCATCCCAGCCTATCCCTGACTGTCACAACCACGTCCCTGGATTCCGTCCCCTTCTGGCCTTCGCCGTGGAAAGGCCGGCGCATATGGACACGTCGGTTCTCAAAGGTGTGCTTCGCTTTCATGTGTGTATTGGAAATGTTTCGAGCTATGTGGGAAAGCGCTTGGTGAAGTCAACGTGAACCCGACGTGTGAAGTCAGACAACTACCAAGCTATTCAGTATATCAGATTCGTTATTTCAAAATGCATCAGGACATATTTATTCCATTGCAGCATTTGCAGTCAAAATGAAGTGAAGGCGGTTTTGCGCTTATGATTCTCGAACTTTTCAGGTGTGAACAGTCGAGTGGGAGGTGATCGGACGAAACCCTCAAGCACAGAAACAAGAGTTAAAAAGGCGGAGACCCCCCCCCCCCCCCCCCCAAAAAAAAAAAATACATGAAACCGGGCGATGTTCAAGTCACAAACCACCTCCTGGAACCTCAAACAGTCGGAATAAGCGCTTATAAAGAGCCGCAGACAAGTGGAAGAGAACACCACAAAGTAAAACAAGAACTTTCATCTGAAGTTTGTTACATAAAAAAAAACAACAACTGATCAAGCATTTTTTTCCATTCGGCGTTCATGAAACTAAATCCTGTCCTTCTTCAAGTCCTTCGGACAGTGTAATAGTTTCAATAGGTATCGGACGTCTCTCTGGCGCTGGAAGGAAAGCTGATGAGGGGCTGCGCCGGTATACATCTCCGCATCTCAAATGCGACCTTAAATTACCGGTTGTACCACACTCAATTACTCGCTCGTCTTGAATTGTTCGTGCGTGGCACCAAACTGCCGGCATCCATGGATGACGTAACGTTTTTTTTTCCTGACGTAATCGATCTAACACATGCATTGATTGTGTTTTGAATCTGTTCTGCATAGCGCAGTCGTGTGAGATGCGGCACTCAAGGGGCGACTCTCAGACTAGCGCACGGCAGCGACTGGAGTGCTTGGTGAGTAGTTTCCTTGTCCCACTTAACAGTGTAATCCCATCCGGCTTTACGGGTTCACGAATACACAAATAGATGCCATTTTTAGGAGCTTTAACATAATTTAAGAACAAGATCGTTTATTCTGAAATGAAATATATACAATTCTCCGCAAGAAAAAAGCTTCTGGTAAGTTAATATCAGACTGACAGTTACCCCATAGATTTTACGTTCTAATGTAGAAATGTACTTTTTTCTTGAAGGAAATATTTTTTTTCTTCTGAATTCCTGATGGCTGTTAAATAAATGCAGTATTTCTATGTTAGGTTCACAGTCAGAAACAAACTGTACGCAGCACTTTCAACCACCACATATTAGTAAAACGCGCGCGTTCCTAAGTGAGCGGTTAGCTTGATTCACGGTCCACTATAACGCACGTCTTCCGTTTAATGTTACAGAGAGGAGTCTCCACCGAGCCTTTTTAAACAGCTTTTTAAAACCTGTTGCACAAATGCGGACCCCCGTGCAAAATCTATTGAGTTATTAGTGTTGGTTTTGTCTGTGGACTGTGGTGCAACAGGAACGTTTTGAAATGTAGAGGCGGAATGGTCAGCAGAAAACGGATCAATGGTCCGACGCTGGTGATAAGGACAAACTGTAACGAGGAGCAGAATACAAGCAGATCAGGTGAATCCTGGGAAGCCCGTCCTGTTAGTGCGGTTATTGACCAGACCTCGTTTCCTTTCACTGCTGTGCCCGGATGCTTTTTTTGGGTTGTGAATACAGAGCCCACTACTTAATTCTGTTTTTCTTTCACACTGACCTAAATGTTTCAGTCTGCCACACTGAAGGCCAAGTTTTGAGAACAGCTGTTAGAACTTTTATAAGATTTTATCCTCACTTCGCTGGTTTTGATACACAGTTTATACAGAAAATAAGCTAAAACTGTTTAACTCCTTAAACTGAAACTAAGAACAGCTGCTGCAGCTACAACTAATACTACCACTATTGCTAGTGACACTGAAACTGAGTCACAAAATTAACATTTTTGTTAGTATTACACAAGAGCATAATTTCACTTAATCATGAATTATTGAGACATTTCATTTACTGTTGTAAGCTTGCAGTTTAAAATTAAGATGAATGGAGGTGTTAATAAGAAAAACAAAGAGTAGGTAAATTATTTTCAGAGATGTTTCCTGATATGTATGGAACAATAGTGGGAAACTGTCTGTGGGTGACATATAGTATCAATTGAGAAATAGGGTCCAGTGAAGTTCCTTGTGAATACTGTTATTTTAGAGTGAAAAGTAGGGCAGCGCTCTCTCAACCAGTGGTGTGCTATCACCCTGAGAAAGAGGGATTCCGTTCAAACTGCAAAGCTGTTTTAATGACCCAAATTATTTCCCAGTTCACCACTGATATAACAGTAAATTTGCTGGAAAGGCAGAGTATGCATGTGTTTTCAATTAAGGTCTCCCAGATTTCCATTTTTCTCTCAGTGAACGCTGGAGTTTGTTTAAGAGTTGTAATGGCAGCAGTACATCTAGAAGTTCATTTCTGGAGTACAATAACACAGAAACGGAAGAACAACAGGTACTCTATCACCACTCTTGTTTGCAAGTCAAGCTGTAAGTGCAGGGCTCCAACATTAAAACAAATCTGTCGTAACTGAAGGGAAAATCTTAAGAGACTTCAAATGCTCTTGGTGAAGAGTTCTGGAATATCAGAATAAGAAAAGTAACCTGGCAGTAAAGACTAAAAGCATTGCTTTTGGGGGATCGTGAAATTGCTCTGTAAGCCATGATGATTGCCCAGGAAATTGGCACTGTTGGTCTCTTTTACTCTGCTATTCCAGAAGTAGAAAGTTAATACTTTGGAACAAAGCTGCTACTCTGGGAAGTTTAGATAATAAGCAGTGTGCAGGTGAACATTATGTGATTACCCAGGGCTTTCTAAATAAAGATGTCAGGTATAGAACACACGCTGAATGTTTTTTTTCAATGTGTTCTCTTCAGTGCCACGAACAATGTGAAATTACAGAACAGAAAAGGGCGTTGGAGGTGTTTGGTCTTCACATCGACCCACCTCAAGCTGATACAGTTTCACGTGTAAACGCAAACAAGTGTAGTTAAATCACAAATGAGTCTCATGCCAAAAAAGCAAGGCTTTTTTGTTTTCTTCGGTTTTGTGAGTGCAAAGATGCGATGTAAACATAACCTTTAAGGAGATGAAGAAAAAAAAGAAAAACACCCAGAAAGAGGGAGTTCACAGTCAGAAAGAGGGAAGAAAAATAAAAGAACAGGAGGTGTATTAGACTGGATTTTTTGAGAAAGGAATTTCCTTAAACAAACGGATGTAACAGCATCCATCCTTCAGTGCACTGGAAAATATGTAGATTCACTTCTGGAAAATGCCCTTACAGAGCATAATAAAACTGGTTGCTTCTCAAGCCCCAGACTCTGCTTGAGAATACTACAGGATTGTGGGGGAGCCGGAGCCTATCCTAGCAAACAACGGCTGCAAGGTGGGAAACACCCAGGGTTGGACATCAGCAGCTGCACAAGCACAATTAATATCAGTTTGAAAGGGTTACAGTGGTCCTGAAGTGGTGGATTTTAAGCATGAGCCAGATTCCCAATTTTCTAATTTGCTGGACTAGAACCCCAAGTCAGGATTAAACTATCTGTAGCCAAGCAATATAAAATTGATATCACAATCAATGGTAATGGAATTGTCTTCTTCAGTACCAATAGATCTCAGATGGGTTTGAAACTTGCCAATGAGCAGGGCTGGTGGTAAAAATGGGGTTGAAGAGTACAAAGTACACACTGATCCTGGAATTACCAGCAATGTATTATTAGGTGATATTTAGAGTCTGGGAGAGTCTAATAGTATATATATACTGGGCATTCCCAGTTCTGTTGGTTCCCATACTCCGTTTTTGAGTTTTTCAGTACAGTTTAAATTTCTACAAAAAATTCAGCAACATTTCAGTCAGTCACAAACTGCTCCTGCTCGTTTTCATCGTTGTCTTTGTGGCTGTCCTGGGAGGGCAGCTTTTAAAAGGGACTCCTGCTCCTGCTCCTTCCCTTAAGGAACTGCCATCGCACGTGAGTTTAACCTCTGGGTTAATGAGTTGACAGATCTTATTACAGGCCCAGCCAGCCCTTTTGACCCTTTTGTCATTGACAATTTTAAAGACGCACCTAGTTCAAAGGTGTGTCCGTTGAACACACCACACCTCTCCTCTGAGACCTTCCTGCCAGTATGACAAAGGCATTGCCGGTGCTCAAGTGAGCAAGGTTGTCTCAGCACCGCAAGGGTGGGATGGGATCAGTTGTCAGGGCTCCCTCGGCTCACAGAGGGCGCTTGCAGGCATGCAGTGTGGGCGGTGTCCGTTTCTCTTAGGCTGGATTAGCATCAAGAATAAACAGAACTAACTGGGACCTCCCACCACCAAAATATTCTGCTTCTCCAGACTGCCCTGAGGTTAAAACGGAAAAAATCACACTTGACAAAATCAGGCAGGACAGAATAAGATTCTGTGGGACCCAAATTTGTGTCTGTGTTGTGGATGGAACTTGAAATGCCTGTCGGACTCCGCCTGACATTTTCTCCAACACTGCAGCAAACATCAAGGGAAGCCACAAGGCTTTGGTTTAGCCCAGAATTTCCTCATTCCTCAATTTCTTCAGATAACCAAAGAATTTGAATTCTTGAATCCAGCACACCTGCAATGTTCTTCGTCCGAGTCATGTGTTTAGAAACTGTAACAAGCTGAACATTACAAACAATTGTGTGTGTAACTGATGAAGGCATTACAATTACATGGAAGTGTATTTAAAATTGAGAATGGGAAGCACTTTTTACACAAAGCGTCATGGGATTATGGAACAAGCTACTCAGCCATATTGCTGAAGCCGGTACTTTGGCATCTTTCATTAAATGGCTGGACATTGTTGGACAGTGTTGGACATTCAAAGGAACGAGCAGAGGTTAATTTCACATTAAAAAGAGAAAGAAAGAAAAGTTACCATGATAAAAAGAGAAGAGTGTTTTGGATGTAGAGGAGAGAGACAGAGGGCAGGATTGAGGCAAAGGGAGAATATGAAAGAAAACATGATAGTGGGTAATGAGAAGGTGAGGGGGGGGGAGGGGGAGGCTTTTTTCTTGGAAATTTGAGCGACAAATTCCAGAGAATGCACGGATGGCAGCAATCTGTAAATAAATGGAAAGGTTAGAAAGGTATTAACAGACCAGTGAATGTTGCAGGAATGTGTGAACCTAGTTTAAGATAATTCTAGCTTTTGATTTCTAGCATGCAAGTTGTATATATTTGATGCGTGCCATTGTCAGTAGCAGTGACGACCTGGGAAGCAAAGATGTTCTGTGCATGCCTTTGGGGGTTTGTGTCTGGTCCCACTATGAGATCAGGATGGCTCCACAGGAGGCAAGCACAGCGAACAGGGTGCGAAGGTCTTTGCTGGTTTCCTCTATAGTGTGGGGGCAATGTCCTTGAGGACACAGAATCCCTTATGTGTAGTGTTCTCCTTCCTGTCAGGGTTTCTAACTTTTTATTTCTCATTGTCTAGGTTGCAGAAGACCTTGGAGACTGCAAGCGCACAGCCTTCAATCTCTCCTCCACCGATGGGGAGAATGACGGAAAGAATATAATTTTCCCTCCGAAACTCAGTTCAGTACAGTTCTGCTGCATTTTCACCATGCTAGTGAAAGAGCACAACAGGTAGGTCCCTTGTTACGGTTTGCTCTCATGTCTGCCTGTTACGATGGCCTTCCGTTTGTCCATCCGTTTTCTAACCACTTCTTCTAATTCAGGGTTACAGGGGAGCCAGAGCCTATCCCAGCAAGCAATGGGTTCAGGGCGGCGTACACCCTGGGTGGGAAACCAGTCCACCGGCAGACATAAACAGACACGCGCTCACACCAGGGACAGTTTTCCTAGAAGCCAGTTAACTTACAAGTGTGTCTTTGGGCTGTGGAAGGAGACTGGTGCTTCGCACACACAAACACGCGGAGAACATACAAACTCCACACGGATAGCACCCGTGGTCAGAATTTATTATCCCAAGGATCCTGGTACGTCCTGGGTGCCTGCAGGCTTGCAGTAGTTAATGAGATTGACACTTCTCTTGTGTGGATGGGTGAACTAGACACCCCCACATGTCCTGTTTTCTCCCAAGAAATTAAGGAGGTTTGTGCCAGAAACCCACATCTTAAAATAATTGGTGATACTAAACTGGATGGGTAATCAGTGTGTAAATATCTAAAAATTAACATGCTTCCAGGTTTTTTAAAATAAATCAGCCTAAGAGGCTGGGAGTAGGACACTTTTGGAAGGGCTGCAAGATGAGAATCCTTTTAACACATTTTGTAAGCAGTGTTCTCTCGGGGAGTGAATCTCTGGAATGGGTGAGGTTTGTTTAAACTGCACCAGGCCCGGATAATGAACAGCAGAGGTTCTGGGGAAGGATTGCAGTGCCTCATCTAGCATAAGTGTTGATTGATTAACAGTTCTGAGCTTTAGGGACCAATTTGTGAAAGAAGTGCACATTTCAGTTAAGTGAAAGGGTGAACACATCATCTAGCCAGATTGCTTGCTCATGCCTGGATTCTGTTGCTAAGAATTTTTTCTGGTCAGTGGGGTTCCCTTTGATTCGGACCAGGTTTAAAGTAATTAGTCACTGCCGTGGTTCCAGCTCGTTAATCCGTCCGCCTTTCAGAATTTGTGCAGAGCTGGCAGGAAACAGCAGGTGCAAATTACAAAACCGAAGCGTGATAAAATTTCACAGTGAGCTCCTTACCACTTCTCTTATAGCAGGGTGGTTTATGTGATCTTAATAAGAATGTATGAAAAATATGCCAGCGTGTCAGCGTTTTTCAAACGCATAATACTCAACAAGCTGCGTTTTCTGCTTGTTACATTTGTTCGCTCACTGACCATTTATTTCTTGTCTACAAACTGGACAATTAGTCTGATTAAAATGAAATGATAGGGTGGCACAGCGCTAAGCATTGCTGTCTCACAGCACTGGGGCCCCCGGGTTCAATTCCTGGGGTGCTATCTGGGTGGAGTTTGTATGTTCTCCCTGTGGTTACGTAGGTTTCTCCTGGGTGCTCCTTTTTTCTCTCCCAGTTCAAAGATATAGGTCGAATAATTGGCTTTTAGGAACATTGGCCTTAGGAGGGAGATCGAGAGTGTGTTTTCTGTTTCGTCCTGTCTAGTGTACCCACCTTGAGCCCATTGCTTGCTGGGATACGTTTCGGCTCACCCATGACCTTGGATTGGTTAAAGCAGTTAGGAAATGGATGGATGGAAAATGAAATGACAAGCAGCAACTATAAAACATTGTAATTATGCCTAAATTGTATTTTGCTTAAAAGATGACGTCTTATGGAGCTACATGACCAGTGAAAATTGTTGGAGGTTTGGATTTTCGGTCAGCGAACAGTCATAGATTTCCTGCACTGCTCTATAAAGGCCATACTGTGCCTTTTGGACTGAGGGTTAGAAAAACAGAAAAACGCAGCAATAAAACCGATTTGCATACAAGCCACATGCTTCATTCTGGACATGGGGCACAGAGCACTGTCCCATAGTGAGTTGGTCAAACTAGTAATCAAACCTAGTGCAAAAAGCCCTCCTGTTTTTTTTCTCATTGTGCATTGAGAAAATGTTCATTTGCATGCAAAGTGCGCATTTTAATCAGGCCATTAAGGTTGAATTTTTACATCCCTGCAGGCATTGAAACTACATCCCCCCACCATCTCAGTCACTTCTCTTTTGCCAGTAATGTCAGAGCTTGAAAAGTTTGAGGTAGAAAATGTTTCCCCTCTTTATGACCCACGTCCTATGGTTTTATCCTAAGCAGCTGCTTGCCCTTGTAAAGCAGATTCTGCTTTCAATTAGGCCCCCCTGGGCGCAGACTTTTCTTCCCCCTCGAAACACTGTTTTGTGCTGTTGCTGAGGCTAAGTAAAGATGACATACCAATCTGTTGCATACCAAAAAGGCTGGAGCGATCTGGATAGAAGACATAGAAAATGAGGAGCTCCAAGGAATGGGTGACCTCTTATCCTCTTCCAAGCCTACAAAGATCCCTTTCTAAAACCTAAAGGGAAACCACTATGGGTGGGTTGAATAGATTCAACATTTGTGTGAAAATTTGGACTCACCGGGATTTGCTACTTTAATTGCAGATGGCAAAGATGAAGTTTGAGTTTTGTGCTTACTCCCATTAGGCTACATTGCACTTTTATTATGGTTTCCCTGGAGGTTTGTTGCAGTTTCCTATGGCTTCAATGCGCTTTCACTGTGCTTTGCAACACTGGATCAAGGGACCAGCCAATTAGAAAGGAGGAGAAAGAAGATTTGCTTAGCTGCAGCATTTTATGCTGACAAAGGGAAAGTGAAAGAGAAGGTGCAAGGACTGTAACAATTTGTAAAATAAGTTATGCAATGGCTCTTTTTTTAATTGGGTGAAAAATATTCGTTCGTTTTGCACATAACTAGAGTCAGGTGAAATATTAGTTACAAAGGTAGTCTGTGGGGAGGAGGTGGCGGAAGGGTCATGCTATTGTGGATTAGGATATTATAGGTCTGTCAATGGATCATACTTTGAGCACCACTTAACACAGTTCTACCTTCCCCTTCCTGCTCACTCCCAGACTGCTTGAGAAATGCTCAGGAAAGAAGCGGGACTGCTGTCAGACACTGGCCTGATTCATTTCGTGCTAATCCACTTACTAGTCTCCTGAATCAGACATGACCAGGGCTGGATAGGCCCACATGGCTCAGAAAATCTATAAACTGGACTGTATAAGTTATCCATTTCCCACCTGTAATGGAAAGAAAGGGTGCTCTCAGGCTTTTTGCTAAAAGGAAGAGACGCAGAAATATGTTATGTTGTGTGGTGGTCACTTTAGTTTCATGCTAGTGGTCCAGCAATAATCTAAAAATGGGCCTAGAATATCAATAAATGAATAATAATGAGAACGTGTTTGTCTTTAGGTTGTTTTATGTGTAAAACATACCTGGGGTAAGCAATCCAGTTTTTGGTAACCAAACCAGAGAATGACCCAGTGTCAGAAGTGACCACCAGGCGAAATGAGATAACCATTTCTGTGTATCTTCAGTTGAGCTCTGTGGTCCAGATGTCATTCATTTGAGTTTGGATCATGTCAAAGCTGCCTGAGACTGGATTCCTTAAGACACAGTGCATCATGGGCTGAGAGCTGCTGGAGTAAAGTGGATTTAGTTGATCCTAATCCCTATGAAGATGTCTCCTGGATATCGGAGAAGAGCACAATGAACAAGAGAATATTTAATTCAAATAAAAATAAAAAATTGTAATATTTAAATAAATTCATTAAGGTGTTTTCAGAAATGTAGGAAAAGACATGGATGATATCCCTAGTATGCTGTACCTTCACATGTTCTGTCTCCCAAGGCTTTGCAGATATTCCTTATATCCAAGATGTGTCAACAACTTAGCAATAACAATATATAAACAACTACTCCAAGCTGTTCATGGATAAATTGCCAGAATGAGTTTTTGGAAGACAGGTGAAGAATTAATGAAGCAAAGCTAAAGTGAAAAAAATGTTGAAAAGCAGGAAAGTACATTACACAATAAATGTAGTCAGTCACTCTTCATACCAGATGTGTGTTGATGGCTAAGCTGGAGTTGACACACTGTCCCTCACTGCCTGGGGTGTTTAGATCCAGGAACAACCAACTAGCTTAGTATAGTCAAACATAGTCCAAAAATGATCAACCACAAATCACAGCACCTCAGCATGACCTATGGGGAGATCCAAGTGTGTTAGTCCAAGTGTGGCAGGAGTGTCTGTCCCTATGGAGCTTCTCGCATGGTGATTTGATGGCAGTCTAACTGCATGGCACTATGCTGAACAAGTCAAGGAATCTCGCTTGCTGCCTTTCGTGTGGGCTCATCCTGACATGACAGCTTTTCAATTAGGACAGCGCACATCCTCGTGCTGCTCGTATTACAGTGGCCTTCTTGCAAGACGAGAATGTGATGGTTCAAGTGTGCCATTCAGCCCTGCATGCCAGACTCAAGCCTCACTGATCATTTGTGTTATGAGCTGGCCTGACGCTTGGCATCGAGACTAGTGAACAGGTGCTTGTCCAGACTGCATGAAAGGAGGGGAGAGACTCTCACACAACAGCAGCTGCAACCTGGTGCGACGAGTGAGTCCCTGATCTACTGATTGTGTTGTTTGCTGTGGTGGCCAGGCTCATTACTGGCCTGGGACTTTCACAGTAGACATGTGACAGATGATAATCTGTATAAGGATTTTATCTTTCTGTTCAATAAAATGTCTGCCTGCCTTTGCCGAAAAAATATGTTCATTTTTTGATTACCTTGTAATGTTTTTTGCAATTACAGTTGATGTATTTCGTTTGATGTACAGTACATATGAAAACGGTGACAGGGTTCCAAAATATTAAAGAAATTAAGTTATTATTTAATTTTAAAATTATTATTTAATTATTATTTAATTTTTTGACCACATAGATTTATTATGTTGTGCAAAACATTTTACCTGTACTACGATACAAAATACCAGAGTTCTCAGAACCTTTAGTTAAAGGCCCGTTTGGTCTTGATATGCGAAGACCTCGAAAAATCCCTGTGCATGTTGGAGTGGAAATTAATATTTAACTTTAATTATAAATGTAAAAAAATGTCTAACACCTGCTGAAATTTAACCACGACGATCCGGATGGATTCCAATGAAGGTCACAGTAAACCGGTTGACCAGAACTGTGTTACCCCTTTTCTTACACATTAATAATTTTACAGAGATCAGTAACTATAGACGTGTTGGAGTTGTGCTTCAGCAGCATGGCCCAAAGCATTAGAATATCACAAAGCAGGACAACACTTGTGCCTTGTTACCTTGATACATTTATGATTTTTCACTCTCTTTTTATCACCAGCAGTTCCCTAGTTTTCAGAGTCTCAGAGGTTTTTGCATTCAAATGCAACAGATTAAAGACCATGAATAGCGAATTTCTGGGGGCATTTCTCTATCCTCCATTTCATAATGGAGGTCATTTCTGCCATTTCTTTTATCCGGTTCTGTAACATTCCAGTCTCACCTGCTCTCACACTCTTGAGTTTTTGGTGTCCTGATGCAAATTGTGGAGGTGAAAAAGACATTCCTGAAGAAATTCATTTGCAAAGGAATTTATTATTATGTTTGTAATATACTGTGTGTGGTGTTGTCCACTGTACTGTGTCATCTGATGACTTGACTCTGCCTTATGTAAGCACCTGTTTTTTAGATAATACTGTATAACTACCTGCTAAAACACAGATTCATTGGATTGTTCTGGCATTTATGCAGCGTGGTTGTGTTAAACACAAGCTTATGATATTGAAATTCTCACCACAAAAGGTGTCCTATTTGTTGGCTCTGAGAAGTGCAACAACAACTACCTTAACAGGTAAGAATTTATTGCACGCACACTTTTATTAAAGATCTAACTTGGTGGGTCTTTCAGTTCTAAAAACACAATCTGCTGGTGGTGGTGGCAGGACTCAGATCTTTGCATAAACAGGGATGAATGTGATTAGACATTGTCAAAATTAAGCCTATGGAAAAGTGTTTTTTAACAGGGCATCTTAGTCTCTTCTTTTTGTACTGAATATTGCACTATTGTAAAACAGGCTTCATCTAATACGCCAAAGTAGGTTTTGTGCCTTTATTTACAGAGAATGCTTATATATACTGTATATGCTTATATTTATTTAATATCTTACTCTTTTGCATCAAAAGGATAAAACTTTATCTTAACTACTCTAGACAAAGGCTAGACTGAGTGAAGCATTGAAAATTGTTATAAAAGTCGTATGGCGAAATGTAACCTTGGTGAACATAATAAATGCATGATCCATTTTAAGCAATACAAGTGTCAGGACCATGTGGATGAGCAGAGAAAATAAAGAGTTAGCTCCAGAAACAATCCCAGTTGAGTACGTGGCATGTGTTTGTGAACTCCCAGGCAATCTGAGAATTCTGATTAAATCAGAAATGTTACCCAGAGGCGTTCCAGCATATGGTTAAATAAAGAACATATATAATTAGGACCAGGCAGCACAGAACTTTGGGAAAACTGCACATGTTTTTCAAGTCTTTTGCAGATAGATAAGGCTTAAAGTATCTTGCATTTTAATACACTGTTATTATTTTTTTTTATCCTTGGGAAGGTCTATTATAAGGTATAAGGTTAATTGTAAAGTGACTTTTTTCCACAGTACATTTGAATGGTAGTTTTGTGCAGGCAAAGGTTTTACTATGTTTTTACCACACAATTGCTCCACTTTGCCTTTGTCGACATCACACTTTGTTGTCACCACAGTGAAACACACAGCCAGGTTTTGCTTTGTAGAAGACAAGTACATTTATAGTTTTAGAAACCTCTTACAATGACTATTAACAGTAATTTGTAATTAAGAACTAGTTTTGAAGGCAGCCTTCATGTGGATGATGGTGTTGCCATCTTTGGCATGAAATTGAGTCAGTTCTATGGCATAACTCAACTGGGGTGCCCAGCTACTAGGAGGACAAGCTGGTTTTGGTTTGTCTTTGCTTTGGTGCAGAAATAGACCATCATTTCAGACACACCTTGGAGTGTCCCAGTGACCATAGCCGAAACAAACATAAAGAGACCCATTTCCTGAATGTCATAATCTTTGTGAAACTCCCTCTTGAGGTACATTTCCCAGTTACCCGTCTTTGTGCCTTCCTCCAGTTTTGCGCCATGTCTGCACAATAAATTCCCATTTCTGAGATACACTGTGCTGCCTTTGCACCTGTCATCCTTTCCAACTTGGCTAAGCCTCGGACTCTTGTGTGATTCCTTCTAGCGAAGTCAAGACAGCCAAGATGGCCATTGGAGAGAAGAAGACCATGGTGAAAAAGGAGGAGGAAGGCGTCGTGTTGCAGTATGTGGACCCTCCAGATGGCGGCTGGGGCTGGATGATTGTGCTGCATTGCTTTCTGGTAAGTAACTGGAGAGGCGCTCGGTGATCAAGCACAACAAGGTTTCAGCACCGCAGCACCGCAGGTCTGGAATTCAATCCAGGGTCCCAGAGCTGTGAGACAGCAATACTAACAACTGTGCCACCCTATTTTGTGTAATGATGCTGAATAATAGAGAAAGGTAGACCATTCTTTCTGTCAGATGGCTTCTTCGAGATCTGGATATGGACTGTGTACATTTCAGTTTGCCATGAATAGCTTTCTGTCTTGCATGCTCTCTCAACAGAATTCCAAAGAGACCCCAAACCACTGCCTTCACCTCACTAACCAATTATTTTGTGTATCTGCAGAAATGCAGATTAGCTAATATATAGAGAGTGATTTTATAACCATGTTTTTTGACCCTCTGACACTGATTTCCATTCTAAGTACAGTTCTGTTTCTTTTTTGTCTGTCTTTTCTGTCTTAATTCTCAGCACTTTACAGCTTTCTCTTTTCTTCTGTTCTTATAGTAAACATTATTGCACTATTTGTCACAAAGCAGATTCCCTCTAGATTGGCTTATTGGATTCTGAATAGTTTTAAATGTTTTTTGAATCAGTAGACCTGATGGGATAATTGCCAGTCTAATATGAAGCACAGTTTGCCCACTCTAGAAGATAAGAATAAGGATGTGCTGAGACACTCAAATGAGAAAATGACTATGTTCCTTATAGAGGACATTCATAAGAACAGAAAGAAATGTCCCAGGTTTTACTCTTCTCCTGTAACATCCATTTTGTCTGACTTATGTATATGTCTCTGCTGTTCCAGGTGAACATTCTGGTTATGGGCACTCTGAAGTCATTTGGGATATTCTTTGTGGCATTCCAGGATGCCTTTGGAGGCTCCTCGGAGCAAATCAGCTGGATCGGTTCCATCATGTCTAGCCTACGGCTCTCTGCTGGTCAGCATTGCCAATCACACAGCTCTGTCACTGTCATTAAGAAGTTTATTCTCGCTGTTTTACTTTCTTAGCCCTTATGAAATTTTAATAGATGAACATGGCACTTCAGCACTTTTAGCACAGTTGTTCCTGGACATCGGGTACTTATTTCTTTCTTTTACCATATTCTCCCACAACAAACATTTTTGGTGTAAATCACTGCACTAGAAAGTCATCGTTATGATTTACCCTCATGAATGTCAGAAGCTGCTGTACCACACTGCTGTTATCATAATAATTATGGTACGGCATTAGTCTAGTGCACTGTTGTAGAGTACATTCATGGTAAAATGAAGGAAAGTGCAGTGAAAGTAAATTTGTTTTAAATGGTAAAAGGGTAAAACAATCCACTTGCCTTAGTAAACTGTCAGGAAGATGTATTTACACTAGTTCAGCTCTTGTGATAGGTAGGCAACACTTTCAGGCAGTTTAACATGGTGCAACATGAAACATCTGTTTAATACAACAATATTGCATTGAGTGATAGCCCTTGCATACAGTGGAGTGTTGAACATGTCAAAACTTGTTGTAAGACAAGACAGTAGAATAGGAACAAGCAGAGGATAATTCCACAGTGAGAAGAAGAAGACAATGTTTCGACTATGGAGCCTCTTCATGTGGAAAAATGAAGAAAAGAGCAGGAATTCTGGTCATCAGTAACCGGTCTGAAGCAACGTCTTCTTCTCCTGCAGATCAGTTCTCTTCTTCTTCTGTAGGACCCCTGGCGTCAGTTGCTTGTGGTAAACTGGGCAACCGCTTGACATCCATACTAGGGGCTGTCCTCGTCAGTGCCGGTTTCCTGACCAGCATCCTCGCCACCAACGTTATCTTCCTGTACATTAGCATGGGCATCATTGTCGGTAAGTGAGAGGAAGAGGCTGGGCTTCAACAGTGCTTCCTACCATACCTGTAGAGCCATGTCATCTTCCCTTCATTGGGCTGACTGTTTAATTCTGTGGACAGATGTATGTTAACATTTCTCCAGGTCTCCTCTACAGAAACTAAATTTCCAGTTGATCCAGTTATGACATTAATAATAATAATACACTTTATTTTATATAGTGCCCTTAAAGGTGGCTTCTCAAAGCTCTTTACAGAATGACAACAGCAACAACAACAATTAAAAATAAACAATAAAAAATACACAAGAAAAACACGATGAGAATATGCAGAGGAGACAGTAGATGGTGGTACTAAATACAGTAGGAGCAGAGGGGTAAAGAATGGAACCAGTTAAGTAAAGGCTCTTCTAATGAAGAAGTTTTTGAGTCTGGATTTGAAGGGGTTTAGAGAAGGTGAGTCTCTGATGTCCTTGGGGAGAGAGTTCCAGAGCTTAGGGGCATAACAGGAGAAACCCTGTCAGCCATAAAGTGTAGACAGACTTGGGGGACAGATAGGAGACCAGAATTAGAGGAGCGAAGGTTGGGAGATGGGAAGTAGGGTTATAATAGATCAGACAGTTGCCAAGCCATGCAGAGCCTTATAGGTGAGCATGAGGATTTAAAAATCTACACAAAACTTGACAGGAAGCCAGTGCAAGGACTCCAGGATCTGAGTAATGTGATCACTTGCACTAGATCTGGTCAGGATTCTGGCTGCCGAATTTTAGACATACTGGAGCTTGTTCAGTCTGGATTTAGATACTGCAGTGAGTACAGCATTACAGTCAATTTGGGAGAAGACAAATGTGTTGATCAGCTTTTCAGCCACAGTTAGTGATAACATTGGGCGTAGTCTAGCGATGTTTCTGAAGTGAAAGAAAGATGTTTTTACAATATGCTGCACATGTGGGTTAAATGTTAAGCCTGAAACAAATATTGCCCCAAGGTTTTTCAATTTAGACTGAAGCTCAAGTACAGTACCATCCACAGACAGGGTTGCAGAATTGGCTTTACAAATTGATGGGGGAGGTGCCAATAAGCATGACTTCAGTCTTGTCATAGTTAAGATGAAGGAAATTTTGAGTCATCCAAGTTTTTTTGTCAGAGATTAGATAGAATAGAGACAGCCACATCAGTGTCAGGTGTGGTATGGATGTATATTTGAGTATTATCAGCATAGAAATGATAGTTGAGCCCATGTGATCTTAAAAGCTGACCTGTGATGCCGGATGTTGTCGATGTTGGAGCTAAAGAAATCTAAAAATGTGTTGCAAAGTTGCAATGAGGCAGGTGATGTGGTGGGGCAGTTAGGCTTTAGCAGTCTGTTGATGGTGGAGAAAAGATGCCTGGGGTTGACATTGACTTAAGGTGACTAATTTAGTCAACCCAAACAAGATGGCACCAAAATGCCAAGAGTCTGATCTCTTTCTCTTCTATCTAGTGTTGGTGCACAGCCTCTGAAATACTGGTAAAATGTATACTTCCCCTGCCAGCTTTGCGACTGAAGTCCAGTACTTATGATACTCTAATAATCAATAGAAAACAATAATTTGATTTCACTCCTAATTTAACACTATGATACTGTATATCAACATTTCAGTACTTCAAAGCGTAGTTTTAGAAATGGGAAGTATTTTCCACATCCTGATTGGCTTGGAAAATGTAAAAATTCAAGATTAACATGTTTTAGTCTCCTGTTCCAGGCAAGAATCATTTAACTGAGAAACTGAAGTTGAACCAAAACACGGGCCTTGTGGCTCTAAAGGACTGGTTTTGGGACCTCTGACTGAGATATCATTTCATTTTAGGCTTCGATATTGTCAAGATGTGCTATCAGCCTCACATTGTCATTGTCTTCCTCAGGCACGGGATTTGCTCTCTTGTATCAGGTCACCTCTGTCGTCACGGCAATGTATTTCAGAAAGAGGCTGGCGACTGCCTACTCCATTGGCCGCTCGGGGATGGGGCTGACCTTTGCCCTTGCTCCCTTCACTCAGCTTCTGCTGGAGCAGTATGGCTGGGAAGGTATGTGGGGCTCTGTGTGCCTGGTGCCAAAATGAAATATTCCCTTTAGAATATTCCCTTTGGGTTTGTATGTGGACCAAATAAGACCATGGGAAATAAGGGAGATACCAGGGGAATCATAAGTGAATTATGTGCTTATCAAAAAACAAAAGAGCAATAATATAACACTATTGGACATAAATATGAGGCTAAGGGTAAATGACATAATCCTGTCTTCTAATAAAATCTACAGTATATAGAAATTAGTGTTTGGGGGAATAAAACATTAGTTGTATGGAAACTGATTTATTAAAAGTATATAAAAGTCCTGCTCAGTAAGTTGTTAGTGGTTTTTTGATCTGAGGATTACATCAAGGCGTACATGACTCCAAATCTCTCAGCAAGAAAAATAGAGAACCATCTAACTTTCCAATATCTTAACAAAACTGGAACATACATTTGTAAGGAACTAGCACTAGATCATTAATTTGAGTTTCCCCCTTTGACAGAACACCAGCCTTAATCAACGGTGAGACAGAATAGTTGAATATTTTTTTATGTAGTCTGAGTAATACCTTCACAGATCTGTATATGATACTTATATTATTCATATGATGTATTACTTGCATTATTCGTATGATTGCAAATAATAAAATTTATAATCCTTAAGAACCATTAATCAAAAAGGCAAAACATAACGTAAGTATTTATAATGCATAACAGCTGTTGCAATGAGGACATAGCAGGTGTCACGGAGTTCATGCTGAGTCTGAGTGAAATGTGTTTGAATAGCTCCTGGTGGACATTCGCCAGGATTACAAAAACACCAGGAAGTCTGGCATGATGGACTATCAACTAGGCAGAGGCTCACCTGGCACAGCAGCTTGGGTCAATATAGAGGTGGGCAGAGGAAAGTTAGTGTGGGAAAATGCGTACTTTTTGGAACTTGCCCCTGCCAAACCTTACTGAGTTTTTATTCTTATGTTGAAACTTTTGATTTGAGTTTTTCTGTCTAATTTTTCTCTGTTTTGAATTAATATTGGGTAGTTGCATGCCTGCTGCCTTTAGAAATCAACCATTGAAACAGGGTTTAAAATCTTTAAAGATGGTCCATATGCACTCTATTAGATCTTTTTATTTCTGTTCCCGTTTGCAGTTCAAGGCTTTTAAATAGGCTGCACATGTCACTTTGTTCTGTGAACATGCTGTAGATGACACAAATGGTGCCCTCTAGTTTGGACTGGCTAAGGGGAAACTGAAAATTAGTCCTTGGATCTCAGCATATCCTGTCTGTAACCTACCCCTGGGGAAGCAGCAGTCTGGTTAGAACTGGCGTATGCTGTCATGTCAATTGCTTTGAGGGCCATTCTGGGTCAGCATTGATCAGGATAGGATTCCAAGCCAGAGACAACAGCAACTGCACCAGTGTGTTCCAGTGTGTTGCCACTGCGAATCTGCAAAGGACACATTTTAATAGACTTAAAGGGGATTTTATGGTAAAGTGTGTATATCTTGGTAGGTAATCAGTTTGCCCACGATACCAAAATGCCGTGGAGCTAATCAGATACAGTACTTTAACAACATGATACACGTTTCAAAGCTGAAATCTGTCCAATTTCTCTGAACAAAGTCTGAAAGATTTAGTAAAAATTGCCTCAACTACAAATTACTTTTTTGCGTCAAGCAAAGTGTTTGACCCACAGAAACTCCTTTTATAAGAGTACTAGGAAGTGCAGCATTTCAGATGTAGTCATGTTATTTGAACTGTTAAAAACAGGTGACGTTAATAGCAAAAACATAGTGTTGATCTGGAATTGATCATTAATTGATCATAAGTGATCATTAAGAGCAAATTCTCCTCCCAGTTCTAATCGCAATCTTTAAATTAAATTGAAATGTTAAGTATGTCACTAGTCCCCTTATAACAATCAAAAGTTAATAGTGAAAAGATCCACTTGTATTTGTTTTTATATATATATAGATTTATTTTGTTAAAGCTTTCTGACATGTGAGTGCTTCCTCTTTCACAGGAGCACTTCTAATATTAGGAGGCCTCATGCTCAACCTGGTGGCATCTGGAATGCTCCTGAGACCCATCAGTGTCAAGGCTCCTGAGCTGCCATCCTCTTCCTCCTCTCTCCTAAAGGACCATGCAAGCAAAGCAGAAAAAGTTCAGGGTCACTATAAGAACTGCTTTAATGGGTGCATTCCTTTAACAACCGGCAGCATCAAGACCGACTCCATGTCAGGAGAGCAGAGAAACGTGTCCACACCTGAAAAAGTACCCATCAACCCAGAAGCCTCGCAAACCCTGGAGCCAGCAAACACCCTTATCCAAAACGGTGTCATCCAAAACGGCATCTTCCAAAATAGGCATATTAAGAATGACTGCAATGGGGACAACATGCCAGAGGAAACGAAGGTGTTCCTGGAGCAGAATGGCAAGGCTCTATCAATAGAGATGTCAACAAGCAAAAGTGTCAGTGAAGAACTCCCAAAGACCAAAATCCTGGATTTCTCACTACTAAAAGACCCTTTCTTCTGCATCTACACATGGTCACTGGTCTTCAGCCAGCTGGCCTATTTTATCCCCTATTTCCACCTTTCAGCCCGAGCCAGGAATCTTGGGATTGACCCCATGGATGCTTCCTTTATTATTTCAGTGGCAGGTAAGTCACAGTTACATTGCATGCCATGCTTGAATTTTACTGTGGGCAAAGAGACCTGGTACTTGCACACACAATCCCTTCCTTTGTCGAATCTTAATGGCTTTTGCATGACCTGCTTTTCATGGAGCCTAAGCTGTTTGAAAAAACTGGTTCTCACTTGCACATTCTTGTTTTTTAAAAGTGAATCCAATGTGTCCAAGGACCAAAGGTGCTTCATGTAAATTACCATGGGGTCATGGCTTCTGATTTATCTTTAGGTAGGATTTGGAAGTCAAATAGGTATGAGTGTTTGCACACAATTGTATGTGTGAGTGCCTGCATGAGGAGTTTTCCAATTCGTAGAACTGAGAAAAAAGTTTGTGTTGAATGATTTTGACACAAAGTAACATGCATTTCTGTGGTTCTTACATACCCATTGCCATGCTTTGTCTATTTATGCCTGAACATAACACATGGGTATCTAGTAAACTATAAAAATGTACAAGTCAGAATTAAGTATTGTCTGATTCTTAAGAGACCCATAACCAATCCTTAGGACAGGACAGTTACCAGTTTAACTGATAAAATATTCCCTTAAGAATTGCAAGCACTAAACTCCAGCCTGTTATAGAGTGATGACTGCCAGAAAATGTGTTTTAAAGTTGCGGTCCGATTTAAGAAAAGCCCTCTGTGAACCTGCACTCATAAGTTATTTGTGAGCAGCTCAGTGTTTGCTGTCTTATGTAACAGCTGCTGAACTTTAGCACAGTGGCCCAAGCAATGGAGTTGAAGTGCTTTCTGTTGATACCGCTTCCTTCCTTCCACCTGCACGAGGCTGCTGCTATCTAGTGTCCTGAAGAGACTCCCAGTATCAGCCCAGACAGACCCTCACACCACGTCTGCCTGATTGCGTCTTTGACTGACTCAGGACTAATAACTTTTATTTTACAATATAAACAATATATTTAAAAAGGGAAATAAATTCCAATGAGTTAAAATGTCTGCTATTATTATTATTAATTTCTATCCCCATCTGAATGTGTCTTGTTATATTTCTAATGGTGCCCCTTTACTCTGATACTCTGACACTGGCAAGGAAATAAGTTGTGAAATGTTTATATTTTTCATGAAAAACAGAGGAATTAAAGTCTTTTGACAGGTGGGACTCAGCCATCATCTCTTTTGTTTTTCTAATGTAAAAGGCCAACAATCTTCTATTTGTATATCCTGCACCTGCAAATCATCTCGGCTCACTGCTGCAGTCATGCGACAGTTAGAAGGTAACGAGTGCCTGGGCGTCAGCTCGTCCCCTTGTCATATGCCTAGCTGCACAGGCAGGGGAGAGTTCGTACCAGCTGAGCACTGGCACACTTGGCAGCTGCCAGGGGCTGCTGTTGCACGCTGAGCTGAGGATCAGCAGGCTGGCTCATGCCCACCCAGCCCTGGCGGCTCTTTGGCCAGCTGTTTGCTTAGTCAGCTAGTGACCTAATTGAAGTTCACCTGGACTATTGTGGTTTATCTGTGTTCCAAATGCCTTAAGTCCCTTAGGTACTCCTGACCTGGTTTTAAAACCATGACTGAAGAGATCACAACTACTCAACTGTATGTACTCATGCTTTGTTTTCATACTGGCTGACTAAGGCAGTAGTGAAACCCCATAGACTGCATGTGGCTAAACTAAGCTTTTGCCAACAGCTCCCCACCCCCCCCCCAGTTCCGAATGACAGTGTCCATCACACTGGCCCCATCTCAGTGGGGTCCTGTCGATGCCAGGCCAGTCAAGGAGGAGGTAGTGCAGGGGATGGTGGAGTCTCTCTATGTATCCTGAGTTCCATCCGACCCCAGGGTCTTGCCAAGCTCCGGAGGGGTCCTGGGCTACAGAGCACGCTCACAATGAACAGTCTGTGTGAGTGTGAGTGCCTGCCGTGTTTGAGTGAGACGCAGCCTGCTTTCTCAGATTCCATCTGCGTGTGAAGCTCTTCACAGAGCAGTAGAGACCGCCAGCCCAGTCCCCCTACTCAAAGGATTCCTTTCAACCCAGACAGCTAAGGCTTCCCAAACAGGCCCTTGCTATGGCTGCTGCTGGTGCCCAGAAAATCGCTAGGCAACGTCTTCCAACAGGAGCCGCTACCTTGGAGACGGGAGGTTTCTAAATTCTGCAGAGCTTTGAAGTGGCTGCTGAATTTATACAGAGATTCATTGTGTCTGCGACGGGTACAGTGGAAGAAAGGCCTGAACGTGTTTTTTTTTAAGAAGTGGGCTGGGGAATGTTTGGAGAAGACTTAGTTAACATGGTGAACTTGTCATTGTCCTTTGTCCCTGAGGGCGTTCATTCCCTTGTTATTTGCAGTTGTGGAAGAGCAGGGAGAATGTGCAGCATGGAAATGTACCTATTGCTTCTTCTTACAAAATGGTATGCAGCTACAAAACTGAGCTAATCTCTGTAGAGTGTATTATTATTAATAATAATAAAATAATAAGTAGTTCAAGTAGGTAGCTGCGTCAGCATGCGTAGGCTGCAAAGGAACAACTAAAGTTTTATTCCATGCTGAAAACAGAAGAAAAGAAACAACTTTTCAGCTGTGGAGTCTCCTTCGGGTGACATAAAACAATACGCTTTATTCTATATAGTGTCTTTAAAAGTAGCTTCTCAAAGCCCTTTAAAGAACAGAAAAATACACATTGAGAGGAGATAGTAGATGGAGGTTTGGGAAATAGTAGGAAAGCAAAGGGGCAGACAAAAGACCAGTTAAATAAAAGCCCATGTTTTTGTCAGAGGTGTAATTAGATAGCAGAGACAGCTACATCAGTGTCAGGTTTAGTATGGATGTAGATTTGAGTATCATCAGCGTAGAAATAATCATTTAGACCGTGCAATCTTAACAGCTGACCAAGTAGCTATTGGTTCTGAAAAGTATAAGTGCCAGTGATGAGCCCTGAGGAATACCAGACTTAACGAGTCCAATTTCAGAACTAAAACCACCAAGAGATAAAGTGACAGTGATCAGCAAGATTTGAACCATTTAAGAACAGTCTGAAGACAAGAAAGAAAAGATATTGTGGTTAACAGGATCAAAAGCAGCACTGTCGTCAAGTAGAATAAGGATAGAAAGAAAACCAGAAAACCAGCATCAGAAGCCATAAGAAGATTACTAGTGACTTTAACTAGGCCAGTTTCTGTGCTGTGTAGTTGTAAGAAACCAGATTAAAGGGGATCGAAAAGGTTATTTAACCGATTTGTAACAGCATGTTACATTTTTTGCAAGAAAGCGTAGGTTAGATATTGGACAAAAATTGTTTAGGTTTCCAGAGACATATTTGTTGTTTTTTTTTTTACACTGGGGTAACAGCAGAAGTTTTGAAGGCCACTGGTACCACGCCAGTGCTCAAGGACTCATTTATTATGTTAAGGATAATAGGGCAGAGTGAATTTAAACAGGATTGAAATAAAGCTGTGGGAATTGGATCTAAATGCAGGTAGTGGATTTCATACACGAAGCCAGTTTACTGAGGCATTCAGAGTCACATAGAGAGAAGCTAGAGAGAAGGGAGCCAGTTAAACTAGGGAGGAGGCATAGAGGTAACATGCGTTGTTTGTCTCCAGAAGAGAATATGATGTCGGATGTTGTCGATCTTGGAGCTACTGTATAGAACAGAGTTGGAATGAGGCAGGTAATGTGGTGGGGCAGTTTGGCTTAAGCAATCAGTTGATGGTGGGGAGCAGATGTCTAGGTTTGTTATGGTTGTTCCCAATGATGTGGGAGAAGCAGCTGGATCTAGCAGACTCTACTGCATCATTGCGTTCATTAAGTTTGTCCTTTAAAGGATCAGAGTAGGAAAAGCAAGCTGAAGAGAACAGAACAGAGTTCTCAAACTTGTCTGGTCAACAGATTGTCAGTTGCAAAACCTCACAGAGTATGAGGGGGAAGAGTTCTAGCTTGAAGGGAATATCTAAGTGGTCAGAGAGGCACAGTTCAAAATAAGAGAAGTGAGAAACAAAAGAGTCATCTCCAATTACTAAATCCAGGGTGTGTCCTTTGTGATCAGTTGGGCTAAGAACAAACTGTTGGAATGCCAAAGATAGAAGCTAAATAGGAAGACTGTGAGTCCACATGCATATTAAAGTCACCAAGAACACGGCTCCTCTAAAATCGGAGATAAAAACTCATCTAAAAAGGCACCACGAGGCCCAGGGGAGTCTATAGACACTAACAATAATAGTAGTGGGAAAGAAACAAGACACTCAAAAGAGCAGAGCAGGACTTCAACAGAACAATTATGCCCCCACCACGGCCAGAAGGGTGAGGTTGTTCAAAGAAACCATAACCTGGAGGGACTATTATGTTAAACAAGAGATCTGGTTTGTCGTGATTGGAACTAAAACTGGGGGAGAAGGAGAAAAAAAGACAAATGAAAGTAAAATGTAAATAAAAACTAGAAAAAAGTGAAAACTGGTGACAGGAGTGGCAGCCAGTCCTTCTGTGTTCCCTCTTAGCCGGAACCGAAAATCGCTGCTCTGGGAGCGAAGCAAGGGGTGTCACCGGGCTTCCAGGACAGGCAGAGAGTTAATAAAGGGAACTGAATATGTATGTATAGATAGAGACAGCTGGAAGACCAAAACTACTGACCTCCATGAAAGTATGTCAGCACATTCTTGAAAATGTAGTGTCCAAGAGGGGACATGGCAAGCTTCTATGCTTGTTTGAGGAGAAGAGCAGAATGACTAGAGTCAAGTACAGAGAAGCTAGAGAGAAGCTAGGTATAACACATTGTCATTTTAAAAAAAGTCTCTGCAACAGGAGACCCCTGAGCTCAGTGTCAACAACACAAACAAAGCCTAGAGTTCTATGTACCCAGCTCTTTCCAAGCCAGATTGGTGTGGCTGTGCACTTTTCATATAGGATTCAGGATCTGGAGCTTGTCTCATGCCTATATCTGCACAGCTCCTGCATGCTTCCTGGGGGCTACACGCAGCAGTAGCACCTAATGCAGAGATTTCAGGCTCTGGACCTGCAGACCACACATCTGCTGCTTCTTGTTCTAGCTGAGCCCTTAACTGGGCTAACGGGTGGCTTGACTGGAACCTTTGTAGATGTTTTCTCTACTCAAACAGAGCAGATCTTAGATTCCCTAAGCAGTGTAATATTTAAAAGGCAACCTTCAATGCATTTAGGAACTGAAAACCGAGTTCATATTAACCTTATAATTAACCAATCATTACTTTAATGAAGGTTTCGATTAACTGTAGCCAAGAGCTCAACTGGAATGAAAACCATTCCATAGGGATGTGGGACCCCCAGGACCAGGGATGTGTACCTCTGAAATGATTGACAAAAATAGCATAATGATCTAAAAACATCTAGTGTCAAGCTCCTCTTCTTGAGGAGCCAGCACAACATCTGGTTCATCTTAGCTTCTGGTCTCTTAACTGATCTGTTCATTTTTTCAACAGCACATGTTATGCATGATGGTTCAAAAGGCACATTTGTTGTGAAGTGGAGCTACTAAGAAACTGGAACACTTGAAAGGAAATTAATTCTCGTAGTCAGTAGTTGTGATTACAAAGACAGTCACGCATATTGAGATATCCCCTTGATGACTTCTCTCCCACTTTCACTTTTACCTTGCTGTAACGGTCACCATAAAGCACAGACTGGCAGCTGTAAAGAGAATCTGTCAGCATTTCTTTGAACATTGGTTCACTTGGCTGAGCCAATTGGTGCAATTGATTTTTCTGTGTTTTTGTGGAGGGGAAGTTATTCAGTAATCATGGCTTTGACTGAAAGTCAAAATGCTATTGATAGCTGTCCCTGACATTGTCAATGGAACCGTACAAAGTTCTGATAACTTAGACCAGCAGAATTAGGAAATGAAGAACACTTGCTTTTCAGATAGGAATTTTAGAAATCATTCCATGAGCATATCTCATCCTGTGTCAGATATATGTTGTCTTTGGCTGATCACCTTGAATGATTGAACTGCAGCAGAGTTTAAGCTGAATTTTACTGTGTCAATTTATCAAAGCATTCATAGCACTTGGCATGCATAAACAATTAGGATTACAGCTATGCAGTTGGTTGATTATACCTTGCATTTCCTTCACTTTAATCATGCTTTACTGTGTTTTTAAAATAATTTCTTTGTGCTTTACTACACTGTACTATATTTTTACCACAGAATGACTTTTCTAAGGATTGTAGCTCACACAAACATCCTGGCTGGCTTCTTCCAGATCCTTTTACACAGTTTTTTCAAGATCATTCTGAACATAACAGTTCTTTGAGATGTTTTTTTACCCTTTTAAACCAGCTTGGCTATTCAAAAGAGCATAGGAAGAAATATTGTTTGCTTTCTCTCAGGTTATTTTCTTCAGTATTATACCCTAGATTCAGCAGCCAGCCATCACTGAGGCCAGCCCAGGACATTCTGTGCAGCTCAGAATGTGAAGTCAGAGCGGTCTGGACCGACACACCATATTTACTTTGAACAACTTAGTGATGCCGTGAAAACTGTAGCAGCATGAGGAGGGAATAAAAACAACCAAAAACTCCCTCTAGTTCCAGATACTGTATGCTCTGAGTCTGGGAGGAGACAGTGACAAAATATTACATATGCTCTTTCAAAAAAATTGAAAACAGATCTGAAATACAATTAAAATGCAGTTTGCGTTACCAGAGGAGTAAACCATGTCAGGGTGAAGCTCCACTCCTTTAGAAAATCCACTGTGTAAACTGCCATAAAACACTGTGACTTCACAATAAATCATTTTCATTTAAAGAGTTGAGATAACTTCGGAAAAGCAAAGTAAATGTGTTGTTAAGGCCTGGTACCGTGAGTAAAGACCCTGCAGTGGAAAATAACTCAGCAGCTTAGTCTCACAGTCGTCTGCTTTGGATCTTATCAAGTGTTGGAGCCTCTGAAAGTCAGCTGGCGAGGAGATTGCCATCAGAATGAAGAAAATTGGGCGGTTTCTGTTTTGACAGGTTAGCCGAGACTGTCATTGTGGGGCCTTTCTTCCTGGGATTTGTCCAGAGAACTCATTTGACCTGTTTACGTCAGCGTGCAATGTCAGAGGTTTCTTCGGAATTTTAACACCTGCTTACTTTATTATCTTTGAGACGCCAACCTCGAGCCCTTCTGACACAAGACCTTAGTGAAGTTAAAGTGTGTTAATATCCAAGAGCCTTACTCGTGACTCAGCTATGAGCTTACTGAGGCTCATAGCTCATAGCTCATTGTATAGGCCTGAACAGATGAGGGAAAATGGTGAACTCATGACTATGTGCAGGGGGACTGTCTTTCTTGGCCTGCAATTAGGCATTTAAACTTTGTGAACTTTCAAAGCCCATCATACTGTATATTATGCTGTATTTCAAAATTATTTCTGCTAATTAAGTTAAGATTATTAGGTTGTATTCTGATGCTCAACATACCATAAGTACAGATCACAGCATAGAAACATAAAAGAAAGAGCTTGCAGTAAGAGTGAAGTGGAAGAAAAAAATGAAGGAAGGGAGGTATTTGACTACATTTTGTAATTAAAAAAGGCTCTGTCAGGGCTGAAACAGTTTCTGGAGACAAACAATATTTGTACTTTTCTCTCTAAATAAGAATCATCCTGATCACACTAATTTCTGCATAAGGAATCGGTCTGGGCATGGTAGGCTAACTATAAACTGTTAAATATATACATATATAACATTTCACTAAACTTGGCTCGGCTCCTATAGCTGTTATGTAATGAACAGATAGTATACAGTTTCAAAAAGACATCATATATGTAAAGAAAGCTTTTAAGTGAAAGGGGACATACAGTGCGTGCACAGAAGCATGCTTTATAAAGCAGCTGCCAAGTGTTCGTCAATACCTGCAGGACAGAGGCCTGATCACATGTCATTCTGTGTCCCTCAAACCTGTAAATAACCCGACAACCTGCAAATGCTTGTGAGAAGATTCCCTTAAAATGTTTGTTGAGATTAAAAAAGAAAATCCCCAGTTTCCGTAGAGCTGCCAGTGTTGTTGCTGGGTGAGCACAATCCACTGTGGCTTCCTGAGTATTTCCTATTGGAGCACTTGTTGTCAAAATGATGAGTCAGTTTAACTGTACTAATTTTTAAAAGTGTCAGCCATGCAGTCCTGTACTCTTTTTTTTCTGCAAACAAAGTCCCTTCCAAAAGGTACATGTTTCTTCAGAACGTTATTTGTCAGAGTGTGAAAGAACTCAAAAAAGCCTTTCAGGAGCACTGCTGAGATGCTGCTGTTTCAATCACAGTGGCTTTGGTAAGTCAGTTGAAGTGTACACTGCTTCTCTCTTCCAGGTATTACTGAGACGGTGGCCCAGCTCGTGTCTGGCTGGGTGGCGGACAGGAATCTGGTCCATAAGTACCACTACCACAAGGCCTACCTGATCCTCTGTGGCCTCGTCAACCTGCTGTCACCCCTGGCAACCACCTACATCCACCTCATGGTCTACGCTGTCTTCTTCGCCATTTTCTGTGGGGGATACATGGCGTTGTTGCTTCCAGTCTTAGTGGGTACTTCACGCATAGCTCCTTTGTAGCTCTTCCTAGCTACAGTACCTGACAGATAAAACTAAAACCAATGAGAAAAGAATAGGGCGATTTTTCTCCAGATACGGAACCACTCCTTTCTAAAATACATACCCACCCGCCTCCCAGACTCCCGGTACATTGTGATTGACTTTGCGGTGTAAATGTTAGGCATTTGCATCAAGCTTCAGACCCTGCATGAACCATAGAAAAGAAAGCAATTTGTGTTGCCTCCCTTTTTATGCTTGGTGTTGTGTGAAATGCAGATGATCTTTGTCAAAGCTCACCCTTTTAACACTTTTTTCACTTTTGAAGTGAAAAGTAATAGTACAGTACAGTTGGTGCCTATTTCTCCCCTTACTGCAGCTGCATATTTGCTGTAGCTTATCAGGAGTCCTGCCAGTTTCTCACAGTTTCCCTGTCGTGTTTATGTCTTTTGCAGTGGATGTTTAAGGCCTGTTTCTGCTCATGGTTTTTCCTTGTTCGATAACAAAAACACTGTACTAACAAGTATGGATAAACATCAGAAAGGCCACTGATGACAGGAGGCCATTCACTCCATCATGTTCATTTCATTCTGTTTCTCAATATTCCCATAGTCGGTGTTGGTTGTACTGGGTGCAGTTTAGTTTTAATGTAAAACATCTTTGGCAGGGCAGCACTCAGAACTGCAAATCTGCAATGGTCTCAATTTAATATTCTGAAAACTATTAGATGCAGAGACAGGGGGACATCAGGAATGTCCCGTGAAATGCTGTTTTGAGTATTGGCGTTTATCACAGTGACTGTGTGTTGAATTCATGGTACAAGATGCCAACCGGGGACATGACTTTGGTGTCCTCATAGGAAATTACAGTCATGGCCAGAAAAAAACAGAGCACCTGACAAACACCCATCCTGTGTTTTTGTGAGAACTTGCACATGCCAAACTGGAACCGAACCTGGGACCCTGGAGCCGGGATGCATCCGAGCTGCCCTCCGTGCCACTGTCCCTATTGCATTGAGAAAAAATGGAGAAAAACCCATTGGTGACAAATAAGAATGTTGAGCTGATCTCTTGTTGTAGCCTGATCCCCTTGTTTAGGAGAGAGTTCTTCTTTTTGACATAATCTACTTGAAATATGTTTGTCAGGCCTTGTAGAGAACTACTCAAATTAAAACACTGAAAAATGACAGAACTACATATAAACACACTTTAGGGGTCTCTATTCTTTCATATATATACACTAATTTGTACATGTTTGGGGATGGCTGCTCTCTGGTCCTGGGTTCGATTCTGCCTTGGGATAGCTTATACAGTATATGGAGTTTGCATGTTCTGTCCACATTCCTGTGGGTTTCTCTAGTGCTCCAGTTCCCTCCCATTGTCCAGAGACATGATGCTTAAGTGTGTCTGGCTCTTGCTGTCTCAAGCATCCTTGCCTTGACAGAGCAGTACTTCCAGGTTAGATTCTGGGCTGCTGCGACCCTCGGCAGGAATGTCCATCTGATGATGGCCAGAGGGGCCTGACTGAGTGACCGTGTGTGTGCAGTAAAGGACGCCTGTGAGCTGGGGCTTTTGTAATTTGATTCAGCTTGAAAGAAAGGCCGAGCAGCAAGGAGGTGGTGGCGCCAGCTGGAGTAGGAAGGTTTGCTTTGTTGCTTTGCCTAGACTCAGCTGGGCCCTCTCCCTGACCTACTTCTTGTGTTTATATTAGACTGACTGAGGCGCTGCCTCCTGCCAGGACTTGTTCCTTCTCTCATGGTATCGTACAAACGTATTCAGAACTCCAAGCCATCAATCATAAAATCTATAAGGCACTGAATGACTCGACTATACGACTTGTCCTGTTAATGCGTTCAGCAGACTGCGTGTTTATTTTGGTTTGGGGTCAGAGAAGTTATGCCTCCACCTCAGATTAGAAATCTGTTCCTACAAGTTCGTAGAAGGGTGCTGCTCTCTCGAGCTGCTCTGAGTTCCTCACCTTTTGGTGAAAAAGTCTTCGAAGCGAGTTAAAACGAGGGCGAAACCTAAACCGAGCGTTTTATTTGGAAAACGGGTCCGTGTGGCTAATCGAGGCGTAACCGGGAAGGAAAAGATGTCAGTTCGGGTAGGGATGTGAGCTCTCATTTCTGCAGAATTTCGAGGGCGGGCAGGCGGAAGGAGTCTGCCTCCACTTCCTCTGTCTCCCCTGAGAAAGGCCTCAGTGTTCATAGATGCGAGTCAAGCCATGCAAAATGTGCAATTAACAGTTCTGTAATACAGTAGGTTCATTAAAACAACTCCAAACTGGATCCCAAGAGTTCCCAAAAAAACATTAAAATGACCCATAGTCCAGTGTCAAACCAGCTGGATAGGTTTGCAGGCAGGTGGAAGCCGAATGAGGAGATCTGGAGGCAGATGTTTGTAGAAGAATCCAAGGGAGGCTGTCTTCCAGCAGGGCCCCTGAAAGTAACTGATGAGCTAAAGGGAGTAGAGTGTTCTTAAAGCCTGCGAGTAGCCAGAAAGATACCCCTACCACAGCTGTTTGGCAGTGCAAGATATGGCATTCAGGCAAGAGGTTATGAATTAATTGGTTGTTAAAGAGAGCTGTTGAGCCCACACTGGGGCCTTTTTGGAGGCTAATGAGATTTGGAATTCCAGCCGCACTTAGTGGCGCAGGGAGGGTGCGCATGTGTGTGCGTGCTTGCCCTTGAGGTTTTATAAAGCACGCTGCGATCTGAACGGCACTTTCCCTTCTCAGATGGCGTTCTCTGGATACGCCAGCCCCTGTGTCTGTGGTTTTGTTGCCCTCGGCCAGCATTCCCCTTGCCCTGCGCCTCCGGAGATGGGGCTGCCTATTTGAAGTTTTCCAATCTGAAACATATGCCTCAGCCTGGCCCTGAGCACAAGCACAAACACAACAAGCCTGCTTTTGACTTCTTAAGCTCACTGTAAAAATTCATTGAGAATAAAATCCATATTAGTGGTCTACAGCAGATGGTAAATATGATCTGCTCCACTTGGCATTCAGTTCCCTGGTACAACACTAAAAATTAGGTGGCCTTTTGAGACTTTGTTTTTCAGAATAAAATTTACAATCCCAACATCTTATAGATTTTACAGAACCTCAGATTCACAGAATATTGATATGGTAAGATACAGTTTTGAAAGGAGAAAGATTCCAGATGAAAAATAACTTCTTTAATTTTTTTAAATATCCACCCTGAAAGATTTCCAGGGCACCATCAAATTCATTCAGCTTTTTTCTCATTGAGTAAAGAGAAATACACATTAACTGTGCTCAGAAGTAAAAAATACTGCAGATTTTGACATGTATCACATTGTACCTGAGGTCAATTTTACAGTCAGTAGCCATAAGCACACGCAGGTGATGTACTCAGAGAAACACTGAGCACACTGGTTTCAGTGCTTAAATTGTGCAAATCAAATTCCTTTTCCTATTTGAGTATAAAAAACATTGAATTCACATGAATGTGTTTGCAATACAGCCAGCAACAGATTGAGGAGTGAAGGTTATCAATAAATTGTTGCTACTATGTTTCCTTTTCAGGTAGATCTTGTTGGGGTGGAAAAATTGAACAACTCAATGGGCTTCTCCATGTTCTTTGTAGGGATTGGTTGCCTCACAGGACCACCTACTGCAGGTAAATGATGGGTGGGATCAATCACTGGTATGTCCTGAAACCAGTTTGTGGATAGGCCCCCCTGTGTGTGTTCCAAAGACTGTCTATGCAATAATATTTTTCCTGATGCGATAATATTTTTACTGCCTATTTTATTTCCCTAACCTCTTCATGCCCCCATTTTGGAATCTTTGATGCTTCATTATGGGACTGCACAGTACAGTTTTTAGAAAAACTGAATCATTTTTTGTCTTTGAAAACATGTGGTCATGCAAATGTTTTTTTACTGCACGTTGACAAGAGGAAAACCAAGCAACATCCCTCAATAATGACAGGGATCTTTAGATATTTATAGATATTTATTAGATATGTATTGCCTGCAGGGTTGCTACAGCAATCAAAACTTACCACCCCATGAACCAGCAATAATAACGAAAACAACAAATACACACTTCCTGAGAGCAACAGAGGCAAATTCTAAGTCCGTCTGCATAGAGATGTTAAGAATTGTCATCACAAGCAGATGGGATTGATTTGGGCAGTCTGCTATCCATCTATTGACTGAAACTGCTGCGTGCAAGGTGCCCTCCACCCATCTCTTTTCACTGATAACAGCCAAGGCAGTCACAGAGAGAGAAGCAGAGTGTATCACCTGAAAGCGTGTTACATATGCAGCAGCGTTTAATCTCATTAAACCCAGGATAGCTTTGATCTGTGTGCTGTCCGCTGTCTGAACAACTCTAGGAGGTAACTGCTAATCAACACAATTTGTTCTCAAATGATGTGACTTATATTTAAAGAAATGAATTAACTAAAACAAATAAAGAGTGTAAAAGAGTAGCAAACAAAAATGAATCAGTTAATACGATGATTCAGACTAATATAATAACATAAAAAGAGTTACATATCTGGCACATCTGACGTTTTGGTAGTAATTAATTGTTCCAAGGATCTCATCCAGCTGTTTCTTGAAAGACACTAGGCTTCAATAACATAGCTAGATAACTTGTTCCACACTCACACAACCCTTTGGGTAAATGTTTGTTCCATTATACAGTATATACAGACAGGGTTTAAAATGTAACGAATGATGGAACCAATACCATTTCTGCATTTGCAATGTCTCTCCATATTAACTTGTATAAGTCTGTGTCATATTCTGAAGCACAGAAGAAATCGGGTAATAAAGTGGTAGCAAGGACTGAACTTCTGGCTCTGACCTCAGTATGCACTGCTCAATCTGATAGATCCAGCCCGGCAGCCGGTAACCACGCATCTGTCATTATGGGACATTCTAGTAGGCTTGCTCTTTGAATTCCAATTTTAGACCTCATTGTTTCAAATGAAGCCAAGTCTGACATGCATTAGTTATGTTAGCAGCGTCTGACTGAGGATGCAGGTGGCTTCTCTATTTAATGCAATATTTGTCAGCCATTCCACTGTTTGTTTCTCACTAAGTAGTTTCAATCTTAGAAGTAACACATCCCAGCATTGATCAAACTGGGTAAGAGATTCTTTAAATTTTAACCTGTCTGATCACCTCTGTTATATTAGGAAAGGAGGGTGTTAATTGATAAAGCTTAGCAGTTGAAATTTGCTGTGGTGGTGTTACAGTTTTCAGGAGGAGGAAAGGAAATTATGAAGCACTCAGCTGTGATGGATAATTAACAAGTTTATTTTAGAGAGACTTCAATTTAAAAGGCAGTGTTTCATTATTGAATATAAAATGCCAGAAGGAGCCAAGCCCAATGAAGGACAAACTTCTTTGGTGGTGGAATGTGAAATATTTCACAGCCCATAAATACATATTGCTGATATTTAGGTTTAAGTCAGATTTTTTTTCTTTCAGTTAAACCTATTTAAACGTTCTAATCTTCTAACATTAGAAATACCTAGGGGTAACCGGCTGCCTGCCTCTGGCCTTATGCGAGAGAAATGAAAGATGATCTTTGAGGCTTTGAGGAAGGGCTGAAAAGTGAACCCTGGCCTCTTCGTTAAAGGAAAGCACTTCCCTGGCATCCCACGTGAACTCAACGGCACCAGCCAGCCAGACTTGCAGAGTTTGGTGTGATTTACGACACTATAAATGTACCAGGGCTCAGGACGGGCCCCAATTAAAGAGAAGGATATGTCCTGGAAATAGAGAGTGGCTGAGTTTACCAGGAAAACCACAGGATCTGACCTTTTGAGGTTTGGGTACACAGGAGGGTGAAACGCATTGCCTGGCCCAGCTGTCTGGACAGCTGCTGGACTGTGATTGCCCTCTAGTGGTGAGAATGCATAATACTACCTTGTAGGAGAAGAAAGGCAGATAAGTGCATATACATACAGTACATCCTGTATATACATACTGTTCTTTGTGCTGCTACTGAGGCTGGTTGGTCCAAGGAGACAATTATTTTTCATGGTACCTTGCAGGAGTTGTAATTGATGTATAGTTCACTTAGTCTCTCTAAATCTCTAAATCAGTTTGGGTAAAAGTGTCTGTAAGTCTTCTATATCCGATATACTTAATTGTGTCTAATACGGCAGTCTGGGCCACTTTTGTCTGGGCAGGTGTACAGTATTTGCTGTGCAGTGGTGGAGACTTGGCCATCAGTGGCACTGACCGTGTTGTCATGTCGTATGTTCCAGGCTTGCTGTATGACTACACGCAGACGTACGACTGCTCCTTCTACCTGGCGGGGGTGTGCTACCTCCTGTCCTCCATCTCGCTCTTCCTGGAGCCCCTCGCCCGGAGCTGGAAGGCAAAGAGGTGGGGGGCAGCCCGATCCGGAGAGCCGGAGTGCAGAACCAATGGCTGCTTCGTCTCAGACGCTGCCAAGAATGGGGTGGTGTAACAGGACTGGACCGGAACCCTGCTGCACAAACCGAACCTTGGGGAGAGGAACTGGGTGGGACTGGGAAAGTCACATGGGCATCACTGGGGCTCCCAGGCTTTCATTGCCGTGGGGAAAGGTAGGACCTTTGACATCGGAAAGAACCCAGACATTACAAAATCAATTCATGACTTTCTAAGTAAACATCCTCTTCTATCACATGGATGATGAAAGCAAAAGAAAAAGGAAAATCCAATTTTCCATCGTCTGGATAAGCACCAGATGTATGTTTTTGGAGGCACCGAGACTACAATCATAATTATTTTTTTTCTCATATTTGGATTTTTAAGTCCAGAAAATGATTCTCGCTGATTTTTGCAACTCTTCAGAAAGCCCGTGATTGCGCCTGATTGGCCCGGTCCTCAAAAAAACAAGACGGAGAAGATGGCGAGAGTCCCAAAGCTGGGGCATCAAGGCAGTGTCCGAGACGCCTTGGAAGCGAGGCGCAAAACTGTCCGAGAAAGAAATGTTGAAACTGAGAATTGTACGAGCTGTCGATTCCAGCATTCCTGCAGCGCTGCCATGCATCTTTCTGAACAACCACCCAAGCTGTTACCTTAACCTGCAGTACAAATGTGCTCACCTGCAATCTTCAGGTCTTCAGATGCAGCATCACTCGGACTCAACCTAGACCATATGCGCTGCAAGTAATCATGTTACCACTAATGTGAGATGGTCAGACTTTGTCTTAAGAAGCTTGAATTCATTTTCCTGTCTTTCTTGAAGCACCTTCATGACCTATTCCCAGTAGCTACCCAGCACACCTTGAGCTCTCCTCCCAGACTTTGCACGGTACTGGTGAGCTCTTTGGCTGTGCAGGCATTCTCTTCAATTGATACTGTATATACTGTATGTATTACACTTGTGTCATTAGAACACTGAATTCATTAACAGAAATGAAAGCATGCCTTTAAATCTGCACTACCAAATGTAATAATAAGTGCTATTGAAAAACAAGATGGGCTAGGGCAGAAGAATTTCATGAGATTTTCTGGGGTTTACTTTTAAATGGGAGAGGAAGATTTTTTTAATGTTATCATTTTTATTCTCTCTTTTAACCTAGCATTGCCAAAACACATTTAGGATTTTTTGTTCTCCTTTTGGGTTTTTTTTAGTAAGTGGACAGAATATAAATCTATAAACCAAAGATGGAGTTGTTAAATAAACTCAGCCAAGGCTTCTGGAGTTCAATGAACAGCAGTTGGGGTCATGAAAACAAACCTTCAGAAAACTCTACCACATGTAATTAAATTCTTATGAATTCTGTGCCTAATATCCTCTGCAACTGCTTCATTTAACTCTCGAGAAGGCTTTGCAACTGAAGTGCAACATGAAAAATGTAACCTAGGAAACACACAGTTCACACAACACCCTCTCATCCAGCTGTTGCAATTACCTGAGTCTTCCAAATGTATTTGAGGTGCATTTTTTCTTGGTAATTTTAATCAATGTCAATGTATATTGCATCCAATTTTTGTTCTTCAGCCAAGAAGTAGGTATGTGTCATAAAACTATCGGTTTAATCTTGCTCATTTCATTATATTTTCTGCTCATCTTCAATTATGAACATGAAATTTCTCTAGAATATGGGTCTTTAATTATAATCAGTACAGCTCCATCTGTATCCTGGGTGATGTACCAGTTCACTCAAAAAATTTAATCATGGCAGTTCCAATTTTTCCATATTTACTGATGCCTTTCTTTTTACTAGGTGTGACTTTGAGTGCCTTTCCTGTACACTTTTTGTCTTAGTTGTGCTGAAAGGACTTGCACAATGCCTTTCTTGGGTCTTTAACTGTAAAGCTCAAGACCAAAATAAACAATGCCCATTGCACATAATGTCTTAATACAGCCTGGTTTGGAAGTGTATTTCTGAACCCTAACAACCTCCACCAGGCCAGCAGACGTGTGATTGTATTGGAGGAATTTTGTTTCATGTGGTCATGAAATTACATTTATACATACTGTATAAAGAAGAAAAACTACTGAACAGCTTTTCTGTTTTCAGACTGATCGGCAAATTTAAAAGAGAGTCCTTGTTAAGGGAAACCAGCCCATTATAAGTGGTCTACACACTCTGACAGAATTCCAATTCTGTACCCGAAATGAGAAAGTAGAATGTGTTATGCACTGTACATGGACACTACAGAAGACACGCTGTTTAGCTGTCGTCATCCTTCATGGCCCAGGGGATTTGGGACAGTGCCTTGCAATGGTCCATCATGTTCCCCATCTGACATCAATCCCAAGGAGACAGCCTCGTGTTAAAATCTATGACTGTCTTCTTTTTCTGCCTTCACTCAGGCCAGTGGTTCTCAATCCAGCTCCTGAGGAATCCCAGAGTCCCTGGGTTTTTGTTCCAACTGGGCCCTTGATCACTGGTGCTAATAAATGCCTGTAACCGACCTACTTGCTTGTCTAGAATTTGTTTGCACTCTGGCCTTGGTTACAACACCTTCAGCATACAGAAGGTTATGCAGTCTCGCCTCAAAGTGCCAATTAAGAATGTGTTCTATTTCTCACTAAAAACTACAAGCTATTATTAGATGAGTTTATGATGAAGACACAGGTGGAAACAACAGTGTAACAGATTTCAGTCATATCAGTATCGGTCACTAATTCATATATCAATTTGTTATTGATGCCAAAAACCCTGTAAATAAAAAAAAATGCTTTAAGCTCTTTACAAATGTAGAAATAGGCCTCAAATATAAAACCCCCTTTTGTTTTCTCCACTATCCTCTATTTTCTCTATGTTAATAAATAATGCCCTTCACTTTATAGGGCTACAGTAGTACAGCTGCCCATTACTTGCTGGAACCAAGGTACAGAGCAGTGCTGTCCAGATCATCGTTTAATTATTGGGACCAGTTTAACAGCCTCTTTCCCCAGCTCTTCTGGTGCTGCTTCTTTTACGAGCCCCGAAAACCCCACAGGTACACAGGCCCCCTCTAGAACTAGGATTGGACACTTCTGCTCCAGACCTTCAGACCATTCTCTTGTCCCCTTACTAGTGATATATTGCTTTTATCAAATTTTGGCTATTGTCCGTTTTGCAGCTTTCCAAATTTTGATTAATTCTTAGCACACTTATGTTGAAGAAAATCTATCTATAAGTGCCTGTAACCTCCTGGGATCTTGCAAGATTAAGCTCCCATCTCATTAGTAAATTCTTTATCTCCTTCTTTGAAGAGCAGATCCCTGAGGTTTCCTTCTTCATGATGTGTTATAAAGACCTAATGACAGAAACACCGCAAACGTATTGCGGGAACTTTCATGTGTTACTGTGTATGTAGCCCGACATTGTTTTAAATAATTTATGCCATGGTCTTAGTGGCCATTTTATTGGTGGCTAATGATACTTTGATATGATCATGAGACTGCTGCTTGGGTTTGAAGTCCGGCAACTATGTGAATAGAAGAGACCAATATACTGTGTATACGCCCAGCTCTTAACGTTCGATTCTTTTAAGTGTGTATTTATTCAAAGGTTGCCAAAATACAGTCTGTTGAAAAAGCTCTTCTCGAAATTGTTTAGTTTTCTTTTTAAACAACAGGATCCATTGGAACTCAGTGATGCTTCCTTGTTGACTTGCAAAGGTGTAATCTGCATTTTTGTTCCTTTTCATTTACCAAATAGTTGTGCAAGTAAATGCAGAGTCCGAGGAAGGACTGCAAATTCCTAGATCAGTTACTCTCAACACATTTTCACTCAAGAATGAACCACACGTGTGCCATAATCACTGCAGGTTGTTTTTTTATATATAGTATTGCAAGAGTTGTAAATACATTGAACTGCAGTAATTGCAGCACAATTATTTATTATTGCCCTCTAGTGGTAGCACGACGCACACATTTGATGCATGTAGCATTTTATTTGGACCTAATTCAGTAGTCCCCCATGATTATTGTATTGGAAAGTATACATTTTTGGGGGGGATTCTATTGTTGTATCTTCGGGGACAACAATACTGTGCTCATTCTGTTCACAATCAGCTATTTCTTTTGCTTAGAAATCTTAAAATTGCTTAAAAGCATAGAAACGTGTGTATATAGAAACCTCACTATATATACACACATGATTTTTCAAGAGTATTGTTTTTACCCATTTAACGCCTTAGAAAAAATATTAAAAGTATCCTATGTTTTGTTTAAAAATACTGGTGGATACTTTAAAATGCGTGGGTTTTTATATCTTTTTGATTTATGAAATATCTGTAATTTTGAAAGTTGCTCTGAGGTGTTTGTACCTGTAGTGACCTCTATCTCGTTCCTCTCTATTGTTGCCTGGAAGGTTTTTATTTCGTGGGAGCGTTTCAATGTTCAGCTATGTATTTTGGTTACAGGTGTTGATTGCAGTTAATCCACTCTCAAGTGTGAGTGAGGTGTGAATGAAAGTCGTTCCTTTGTTCCACACTGGAGTGGCTGCTGCGATAAAATGAAAGGAGTATTGTTTCTCAGAAAAGCTGAAGACAGCTTTGTGATACCAGAACTGTTATTTCAGGTTATTATATATACTCCACTCTATCCTTGGATTCCTCAAGTCTGCCCCCTGCAGGAGAGAAATCTCAGCCTCACAGGTGGTTACTGGGCTCAGTAGATTCTGGGGACTGGGGCAAAACCTTTTTTGATGGGTTGTCTTAATTTTAGCAACATGTACCAACTGTTGATGTTAATAAAATTTTGAACATGTATGGGTTGTTCTGGAGTTTATTTTACCAAGACCTGCTGCATTGAAGTGGTCCAGGGCTGTGAGGGATACAGGCTGCTTTACTTGTTTAAAAAAAACAAAGACTAAAATTCCACCACTCACCTCCTAAAACCAGCTTACCAGATCCTGCACTTTTTTACGATTTTTTTCATGAGTTAGTTTTTATTTTATTGTGGATCAGATTTCAAGAGTCCCACGCTTGAAAAATTTGCAAATAAGTTCCATCTTAATCACAAGCCAGGGTTCAGCAATACTGCTGCTTAAAGGTCTCTATCCTACAGCTTCTCTCTTCAGATTCCTCTTAACGTACAGGTTGTCAAACTCCAGTTCCTAGAATTGTTTTTCATTCCAGCTTAAGTCTTCCATTTACTCAGCTGACATAATTAGTGGATTCTCTTAGACCCTAATTTGTTTGAAAAGACACTTCAGTTTGCAGTACAGTCACTGTTACATGTGTTCAGGCCAGAGCAGAAGTGTGTTATCCAATCTGAGGCAATTAATTCATCCAGAGGCACACAATTCCAGCACTGGAGCACTGCAACCAAGCAGGTCTTGTAAGTTTCTTTAGATCTCTAGCACCTAACACAGCTGGGAACTGTTAAATGAATGCCCAACAATTAGATCAGTTTGGTTAAGAGCTCGGGAACAATGAAAACCTACAGCCTTCTGGAAGTGGAGTAAAAAAAAATTCTGAAATGTATTGTTAGAAGTGCCAATGGTTTATTTAAAAAAGAATTAAGGCACTTATTATTGTTCCTTTGTAACATAAAAAAATCCTAAAAAATACAAATTTTTAACATGTCTAGTGAAAGTGACAAGATTTAAATACCCTTTCCTTTCTATAACTAAGCTTCTACAGTTAGGTCACTGAACTACTGAACTAAACGTTTACAATTTAAAATGAAATTCCAGCCTTAACTGGTGTGCATCACAAGCAGCATATTTACTGAGAAATCAACTGGTTATTAACCCCTTAGTTTTGGATGGGCAAATGAGAGATTTTTTAAGAAAAAGCTGATAACCTGCAATCCATTTTAAAGCAGCCGGTAGTTCAAGTTAAGTCCCAGGCTCATCTATTCTCCATTACACTGAGCCTGAGAGCTCAGACCCCTCTGCTGCTTCCTTAGAGGTAACGCAAATGTTCATTAACCTCTCACACCCCAGTCCCTATTCACCATATTAGATTAGAGCATCTTCCTTTGACTATTTAATTGTTCTTTCTTTATAGAGAATCAATACTGTAGTGATGAAAATGGAGATTGTCAGTGACTGTCTACGATGACCCCTCTGAATGTCTGAAATATTCTCACTGAGCTAATTATTTTATAGGTAATAAGCCACAGAGAGTGTACCCGCTGTTTACTACTGTAATGATACGACAAGAGGCTATGTTGCAGAAATACACTTTTATTTAGATATTAAGATGTACAAAAACACTCAAACATTTAGCATTACTTCTTGCAAATGAATAGAATCTTACTCTGTTTTTTATGGCTCCTCTGAATAAAACTGAAACACAAACCAAATTCCAATTTATAGAAAGACAGTGTACTCACCTTCTGGTTTTCTGTGAATTTTCCTTTCTGATTTAATTTCTGTGGGAGAACAAATAATGTGAGAATTTAGCACCCTAAAATTCAAGTAGCCTTTTACCTTAAAAGGTTAACTGAAATGCTTGTTTGTTCTAAAAAAGTGGACTTCATAGGACATTATTATTTTAATTTTTAGAATTAGCTGTAATGTACATATACATAATATACATAAAAGGACAGTGAACTATACTGAATACATGACTGGTTAAAATACATTAAAAGCCTTTCACAATATTGCAGAGCTCTGTAAATTGAGGTTGAGAGCTCTTTTTACAATCTATTCTCCAGGGCAAGAAAAATGCTTCAAAAGAGATGGTATGTTTGCATTCTAATTCAGGCTAACAACAAGCACATATACATTTGGCTGATCTAGCACATTTGATCACTGGTAGCTAATTAATCCAAATATTTTATCCTGCTGTTCTTTGAAAGAATTCAGGATATTGGCTGGGCAGTTTGTTCCAGACTCCCACAACCCTTTAGGTAAAGAAGTGCCTCCTGTCAGTTTTCAATGCACTTTCACAGTTTTCACTTGTGTCCATCCTCTGGTTAATGTTTCATTGTTGATTCTGAAAAAGTCCAATGGGTTGACTTTCTTAATGTCTCAGGTGATTCTGAATGAAGGAACTGGCTCCCTGTGTAGTCTTCTCTGTTCCAAGACTAAAAACGTTGAGAAACAGCACACATCCTAAGAAATATACAGGAGAAAATGTTTAAGTAAATATGAGATCAGAGCTGCTCTGCCACTGCAGCAACAAAAACCCAATGGCTAAGCACTGGGAAAAAAAGACAAAAGCACGTACACACTGAACCAAATCAATAATATCCTTACAGTACAGACAATAACAAACCAAACCACTGTGCTAATTTTAAACCCGATACTAAATATACTAAGGTGCCTTCTGCTCCATAGTCTATTTAGTAAGTATACTTCAGCATTCCAGCATATTTAACCAATTAATGACCAAAGTGGCAGAGAACTGACAGGTAATGGATTAGCGAAAGTGCTGTGAAACCTTATTAAATGAAACAGAAACCGGTAAATCAGCATAACCGCATATGTTACACAGCTCAGTGTTGTTTTGCTTTCAATTCTGTTCTT